GAAAAGTGACTTCAGTGACCTCTGAAATACTAATTCCTAGGGTGTGATAGCTAATGCACTCCTAGAAAGACCTGAGTCATGTTGTTAATAATTAATCTTGAACTATGAGAAGTCTAGAAATCTTTCACTGAAGATTCTAAAAGGGAAGAAGGTGAATATGGGTTTGCTGGTTAAACAAACTAAGCCTGTGGAAGGGGAGACTAACCTACAACGTCCCACTGAACATGGATCATTTCCAGTACATTAGATTGTAGAGGATGGAAGCTGTTCAGCTTGCTACACATCTACCATCCCTGGGTGGAACCTGGGACAGGCAGCTCGTTGTGTTCCAGAGTCTGCTTTGTGTAACACAGAAACTACTTTTATTGTAGTATTTCTTAATGCTCTGTCAGCAGTTTTGCTTTGAATCATGAGTATCCTTAGCACTGGATTAACATAGGACACATTAATTCCTGAACCTGACAGCTGCAGTCAGGCAGCAGTCATTTTTATAATAACATATTAAATACATTCAACTTGCTCCTATTTAGCAATTAGAATGTAACATCTTTTGGTATTTTTTTTCCAGATTTAGCAGTCTGATCTTGTCAAAACACAGATATGATTATTATTTTTTATTTAAGTTCCCTTTTAGAAGGCAAGTGATGGTTTTTAAGTGATGCCTCACCTGGAGTGAGGCAATAGCATTCAATTAATAGATATTTGAAGAGGTAGTTTTCTTCAGAGACAGTATTGCTGTTAAAATCTTTTTGAGCAAAATATTCTGTATATCTTTGGAGAACAGCTCTTGAGATTTTTATTCGTTTTAATTTTTGAAATTTTGATTACTACAGCTAATGGCATGCTGACATCAAAGAAACTAGGATATATTAGGCAAACATAAATTTGCAGCTGACAAAACTTATGGAAATGGTCTCAAAGCTTTTGGAACCTGTGACATAATATATGTATCTCTGTACACATATCCTTGTCAGCCTCTGAGAATTTTGCTAGACATAAATCTAGCATGTTCCACAGCCTCTCATCAGCTGTTTTTAGGTAAGTCATGGCTCATAATCTATGGGAAAAATGCTTGCAAGCATTCTCATATTGTAGATTTTAGCTACTGTAGGTAATAGCTGACTACAAATGTATTGTAGAGGGACTGTTGGATTAAAAAAATGCAATGGTAGAACAAGAAAAGTGTTTTCCTTTCATACTGGTTTCAATCTAGCAGTACAGTTAAATGTAAAATAGGAAACCAGCTGTCTTTGGTGGTTTGGACTCTTTTTTCCACCTCTTTTAACTGGTGCACTTGCCCATTACTGCGGTCCAGATATGCAAATTGTAAAATAGGTTTCTTGAATAAAACTATTTATATATTAATCTAAAAAAAATCAAACCCACCAATATCTCCATATTAATGTGATAATTGCAGCACACACAATGCACCACATTTCTGGCTTGAAGTGCCAGAAATGATTTGCAGCCCAGGCTGCATTAGTTCAGACCAGCCATGGGTTCAGTGGCCCTAAGCTCCTGACTCAAGGAAGGAGCAGTTAATGAGTGCTGAGCTGGACATGGAGTCCCCAGGCTCTCCAGCCCTGCTCATCCATCGTGTGTGGTGGTGTGACCTTTGTCTCTGGGCTTGTGCAAGGCAGTGCTGGCCACGCAGTTCTTCATGCCAGAAACATTTCCCAAGGGGATGGATAATTGTACTTATGGTCTTGCAAAGTATAATGACAGAATTTCTGATTTTTCATTTTCATCCGGGTGCTCAAGGTTGAAGTGAGTTTCTGTGGATTACCAGTGTTATGAGATTCTCTGCAATTTACTGCCTGAGAACAGTTGTGGAATCTTCTGGTCTCATGCTTCTGCTTCTTCAGCCAGCCTGATTCTCAGTATTTTCCCATCTAGGACTTCTTATCTCTGCATTTCCTCAATGCCACACACAGTTTTGTACTTCCTCTTTCTCTCACGCCCATTAACCTCAGTCTTTTACAGATATTAATCCCTGTGTGGAAGATGTTTTGTAACTTTTTGTTCTGAGCAGTGGAAGGGAAAGGCAGTGGTCAGAACTATGCTCATAATCCAGCCTATCAGGCAATGTATATTTTGTAGTTAATTTTTCCCATCCAAAATAGATGATTTTGTCTCTTTTGGGCTAATTCTTTTGTTCTTCTTTAATTTATAAGGTGAAAATATAACAGGTGGCAGAAGAAGAGGGGACATTGAAGTTGTTTCCTGGTGTTTCTTCTAAATAGAAAGTTGAGTTAATCTGCCTTGGGCAAGGAGAACCCCCTTGGTTGTGCTTTCCCATACACTGCCTGTGTCTGCTGGAGCTCTGCAGAGCCACACGGGCTGGGGACTCTGAGAGCCCCAGTGCCTCAAAACTCAGGAGTTCTGCAGGAGAAGAGGCTGGCAGCTCTGCACAGCCCTGCTGCTGGTTTAACTCAGGATTCTCTGGTTTGTGGAACAGAACTGTTCCCTCCTGCAAGGTAAAGGGTTGGATTTCCAATATGACAGTGAAAAGTAGTAGGATTATGGGATCAGTGTGGGAACACTTGTGCTGGAGCTTATGAGCTTGTCTGCTGTGAACTGTGTATTTAAGACTGCTGATACTCTGAGCTGAGTAATGACACTTTATACAGATCTTTGAAAAATCAGTTACAAGTGTGTCCTTTAAAATTTCCCTTTAAGAAGCTGAGATTTGTTTATCATGGCAAGTATCTACATATGTGGAGAGAAAGTGTTGATATTAAGTTGCTAAAGCTGAAACATTTGAAAATCTCTTCCATGATCCTAAACTTTTAGCATAAAAATTCTGGTTATGAATTCTCTGCTGTAATGAAAAATGGAAGTCAGGCTTATTTTCTGAAAGATCCCTTTAACAGCGGGTTTTTCATGCTTAGAAATGTTAAAGATTTGATTTCCCCCTCATCAGGTTCTGAAATTGTTTCTTTCAGTAGAGTTGAAATAAAAATAATCAGCCGTGAATTGTGTTCTCTTCCTTGCCTGTCTCCATGGCAGTGAAGTGATTTAAATTGGTATGTCCATCTCAGTCCTTGTAACAATGCCAACCTGTTTAAATGTGAGCTGTTTTACTCCTCAGTGCTGAGATTCAGACAGTACTCAGACTCAGATTGTAGCTTCTGCTCTACCATGTAGTAGTTGGAGGACTCTGCAGTGTCTTCGAAAAAGAAAGGTCTAATGTCATTAAGACATATTTATAGTTTGGTTTTTTTGTGCATGCAGAGAAAAAAATTAGTTTATAGGGTTGGGGTGGATTTTTTTTATTTTTTTTTTAAGATGTAGGAGATAAAAAGAAAATGCATTCTCCCTTGGAAGAGCAGATTTTTTTTCATGGAAGTATTAACCATGCTTCAACAGTAACATATATCTCCTGTCGCATTTCTGAATTTAAGCAAATGATAAAATAATCAAATTTAAAACTCTAGATGAGCTGGTGAGTCTCTGGATAGCATATCTCCATTTGCTAACATACAACATGAAGTGTTTAAAAAGTTTCACTCTGCATGCAGGTTGCATCTGAGAAAATACATATCACAGGAGAGCTGTACAAGATATTTATGGTCTGCAAAGAAGGGAAAGTATAGTCCATAATTCATGGAACTTTAGTTAATAAACAAGGCTTATTCCAAAATATGCAACATGGAATAGTGAAGCATAATAAGTGTTAGACACTTTTCCCAGAAGATGTACAGGTCTTGCATGCAAAGTGATATACAGAGCTCTCATAAGATTTTTCTGGCATGTACTTTTTTCCTCTTTGTTTCCCTTAGCACAGGAAAACCCCCATTAGGGATTCTAATCATGCAGCTGTTATGTTCTCTTCCTCCTTAACCTGCCCTAAATGAGTTGAAATTGCTTGCTTTTTAAATGCTAAACTTCAGAGAAACTGACTGGATTTTAACAGTATTCACTAAGAAAATGTCTTGAGGTACATTCCCTTAAATTTAATTGCTGCTTCTCTTACTGTGTCTTTGTTAGAGTGTTGTATGACATGGGAGTGTGTGTTGTGTTCTAAGCTGTTGTTGAAACTTGAATGGAACATGCAGATTTCTGTATATTAGGAACTTGACCCGGAAATAAAATATTTGGAATGTGTACATTTATTTGTATAGTAATGACAGGAAGCCCCTTGTGTATGAAAGGGCTCAGTAGGATGATCCAGATTTCAACACCTCTTCTATTGCTGCAAGTACATGATCTGATGGTGATTAATTTCAGTATCCATTGGAGGCCTCTTCCTAACCCTGCAGTGCTTGAAAGAAACACATTTGGTGAATTGTCCAATCTGACATCACAAAGCAGACATACTCTCCAAATGTTCTCACTCAGTTCAGTGATAATTTGTTTTGTTGGTTGTCAGTGAAATAAGGCATTGTGACTTAGTTTTTACACTGCTGTTCCTAAAATAGAGATCCATATTTTGCTGAAATACTGAACAATAAACCAGAGTCTCTTTTTTGCAGTAGTGGACAGCATTACAAAAAAAAAAAAATACTGAACATTTATGTAGTAATCTCCTCATATCTAGAGCAAGACTTGCTAATATGGAGTTTTTAAAGTTACTGTGTGAGGTTTTGGCACTGGTGAAGGGAAGAACAGTGGTGATGTTGTAAATGCTGATATTTAGCACAGCAAGGACCTCACCATGATTGAGGCAGCTGCTGTAGAAGAAAATTGATGATACAATAATCTGGTTCTTGAGAGACCTTTTATAATGCCAATAATATCTGGCTAGAATATGACTGGTTTTGTAGACACTGGCAGAAGCTGAACCCTCAGTGCTGCTCATATTGCTTAAGTCTTTTTATATGTAGGTAGTGGGAGACCTTTTGATCTGTTAAAGACTTTAAGTCTTTTCCAGTTCTACTGTAAAACACGTCTTCTGGCAAGAAATTATTTGTAACATACAGAACTGAGTAGGAAAGATTAAAAAATGGATTCTAAAAGAAGCCACTGCCATTAATTTAAATTTGTTTCTAACCTTTCAGATTTTTCTTCTTGCCTGTCCCCCATGTCGGACTGCAATGATTCTCTTCAGGTAGTACCTCTTCCTTACTGTTTTTCTGTCTACTTGTACAGTGTATTTTAGAAGTTAATCACTGCTTAATTTATAAAATACTAAGGGAAATATCAAGTTGGAAAGGCATATTGATTGGATTGAAAAATGACACTTTGAGAAGGGTCAGGGCTTAAATCAGGGTATTGGGTGCCTTATCCTTGCTTCTTGTGTGTTGGTGGTTTATGAACAGAAATTAGCTTAATAACAGTGGATTAATGTAAGAGCTACTATAATTTGTGTCATGGCACACTTTGAGAAGGGTCAGGGCTTAAATCAGGGTATTGGGTGCCTTATCCTTGCTTCTTGTGTGTTGGTGGTTTTGGCCTTGCTTATGAACAGAAATTAGCTCAGTAACACTGGATTAATGTATGAGCTACTATAATTTGTGTCATGGGCCTTGAACCTTTTTACCATCCTCAGCAGAAATTGTAACTGGGCCTTGCTGGGAGCTGTGCAGGCAGTCTGGATCTGATTTCAAAATTTTGGATAGGTAAAGTTAAATAGGCAAAGCAAATCCTCTCTGGCTTCGTTGGTATTTCTGAGATCTCTGCAGTCTTCTCCAAAATACTGCCTATTGTTACTGACTTCTGCAGCAGCAGAGCCCAGGGTGCAGCTGAGGGTGCAGCCAGTGTGTTGAGGGGAGGGTCAGGACTGCTGGGCACTGGTACTTGGCACTGGCTGTAGCTGCCACCACAGCTTTAAACTCTGCTCTTCCTTGTCTTAGTCTAGGCAAAAATGATGCTGGGGGAATGCCTTAGACAATCTTTCAGCAGTTTTCCCCTGCTGTTCCTTATTTCTGCAGGGATTATGCTGAACAAACACTCTGTATTAGCATCTCTGTCTTGGAGAGTGTGAAAAGTGTGTCTGCTGTCCAGGAAATCTTTGCTAAAGACCAGTTGTAGAGCAGAGGCCAAATATTTGTTGTTTTTCAGAATGGGTATTTCTATTTTCTAACACCCTGACAGCATATAAATTATATTTGAAAATCTGTTTTAAAATTGCAGTACCTTTTCCTCCCTCAAGTTACTTTTAAATTCCTAGGAGTTTGGCAGACAGTGGTGGGAGACAGTTTATTCTTTACTTTGTGTCTAATGTAAAATAGACTAAAACAGTTCTCATACCAATTTTCTGTTCCTGTGATCCAACAGTAGTTCAGAAAAAAGATGGCTGAAAGCTATACAAATGATGGTGTATAATACTACTTTCCTGCCTTGTGCTTTACTTAGACTTGCTCTTGCATTTTGATAAATGTAATTATTTTATTTAAGGGACTTCTTTCAAATTCTTAAAGCTTTACTTTGAAGCTGTTCATGCACAGCATTAAAGAGAAGTAAAAGCCTTCATCAAAGATGCTATATTAAGCTCTGGAAGACAAATGAACAGCAGAATTCCAACTGTTTAGCAGCTTGCATCATGAACAGGATTATAGGCAGCCAGGCTTTCTAGGAATCCAAAGCTCATTACAGAAAGCAGTCCTTAAGTGTGTATTTAAAGATAGGATTTTGTCCAGTTTTATTGCATTTAATAATGACTAAAAATTCAAGTATAAACCATTTTTTAAGCATCTTGCTGTCTTTTATTGAAGAGCTACTACATAAAAGACATGAAAACATTATTATTGCATTTTGCCATCAGTGAAAATATCTCTTTTCTAAGGTTGCAGATGCATATGCTGAATGGGGCCCTCTTAGCATTGCTGTTTCCTGTTGTTAATACACGCCTGGTGAGTGTACTGTGGTTTTCCTCCTTTTTATTTATTTCTAAAAGATTATCTTTGGAGAGATGTCAGATGTTTGCTTTGCTTGGCCTTATAAAGCTCATTTTACCAGGCTGTAGACTCCTGGTCACTACAGCGGAGCCAAAATAGCAATATTGGATTTTTGGATGTTTATAACTTGGTATGAGAAGACAGCACTGCTGTATTGAGTGTTAGCTCCATTCTGGACACTAACAGAGGGAAAACTTGATGGCTTTGAAAGAGGCTTTCACAGGTTAACCTTGTGGCCTGTGGTCAAAATTCAGTTTCAGACTTTTCAAACTCTGTAAATGTAAGATTCCTCAGGCCTGGAAAATGCCAAATGTTGTTGTTGGCTGTCATTCCCTCTCCCCCAAGATTAGGCACAGCAGGTTGTTTTTTTTTTCCCATACAAGTTTTCAAATCTGATGTAAAACTTCAGTCTCCTGGACAAAAAAATTTAGTCTGTTGGTGTTCCTAGTGAGATTCTTAAACCCATTGAGATTTAAAGGTAGAAAAAATTAGAGTGTGAGTTGAATGAAGTATTTTTGAAGATCATTTCAAGAGCTGTTCTCCATGCATATGTAGAGGGGGTGTATATGTATATGCACATATGACTACATGCTCTTAATTTTTTCCATATGATTTATCTGCAAAAATCTGTTGTTGCAGCTATTTTAATGTCTGTTTTAAGATAGATATGAGTACTTTATATTTAAGCAAACTATGTCCATAATAGAGGTTGAATTAATATTAACAAAATGGTTGTGGGCTTCAGAATCCATTTCAAATTTTGTTGGTGGATCTCTACTTGCAATCTTGACTGTCTAAATAAGACGAAATGTAAATTTAATGCTTATGTGCAGTTTGCAATTGCATTTTATTAAAACTTGTTGAAGAGGTACTGTTGAAGAGGCAACAAATTAATAAAACAAGTGTACTTTTCCTAATAAGGAAAACTCTTATTTTGTATTTTAAATAATCTAGTTTTTAAGTATGTATAACCTTAGGCAGGTCAAAGTTGGTCTGGGTAACCTTTGAAAGAAAAAATGTTGAAGTATTTAATAAATCATTAGCTTGTATTTTCTCTGCCATTATCACAGATCTCATTCATATTAGGGCAGTGGTGATTAAACAAGAAAGATACAACCTACTTATAAAACTGTTCCTGTAATTTGGAACAGAGTAGCCAAAAGATACTGTCCAAGAGTAAATATTTTTGGAATAATTACAACTTAGGTTATTTTTGGCCTAGCAGCTGCTTGCCAGGCTTTTCACTTTTCCATGTTTCTTCTGGCACAGGATATGTGGGTGATGTTGTACAGCAGTGCCTTGATCCAGACCCTCTCGTGGCAGACACACATTCTGCTCCACAACTCTCACTGTGGTTTTAACACCAACATTGTCCTGAAAAGGAAATGTCTCCTAAAACCTAGTAGGAATTAAAAAAAAAAACAAAACCAAAAAACCAACAAAAAAAAAAAACCACACAAAAACAAAAAAACCCAAAAAAATAAAAAAAACACCACACCCAAAAACACCCCCAAAAAAACAACCCTCAATATTTCCTAATCTGGCTGCTCTGTTTTTTTTGATACCTAAGTGAAAAACTTTTGATTCAGTCATTAAGAATGAGAGACAATCATGGCTTCAGCAGATCATGGATGTTTTAGTGGGTATCAGGATTTGGATTGTAAGTGCTAATTTGTTCAAAGTAATTTCCAGAACACCTCTTACGTTTTGTGGCAGAGTCTGTTAGGGTCATGTGTTTTTGCTACCAATTACATTACTTAATGAAGTGCAAATGTCTTTCTGTAAATATGCTTCACTGTTAAGTTATCCTGAAATGGAAGCTTCTGGCATAATTTCATGGTTTCCATTTTCTTGTAATGTATCTGTTAATTTTTTTGATTTTTTGTTGGTTTTTTTTTTTTTTAGAACCTCTGTAATTTCAAAATTCTTTTAAAATAGTAGTGTATTGCCAGTGAAAATGGAGAGTTGGCATATTCACTGAAACTACAGTAGAAAGTTTCTACCTTCGGGTTTTTTTTATCTTTCAGTCAGACTGTGCTAAACAATGCAGTTAAAAATCTTGCTGGACTATAACAGGCACCTGGGATAGTGTTCAAAAAATGTAGCCTGACAGGTGAGGTCAGTCTATTTTGTTCTTTCCAAGAAAATATTTTCCTGCCTTGGCATGAGGTTGAGGTGCCAACAGTTAACAGACTTAAGCAACAGATGCACCCAGTTGTATTTGTTTGGCACCTAAATATTGCAACTATTTGCTACTTTTTTTGCCATGTGCTGATGGAATTAAACTGTGTGCTTTGGGACAGACATTGGATAAAGATAAAACTGTTTCTTGTCCAGTCAGTGCTTTTTTGAGTTCTTCTTACCCTTTCAGAAATAAAAGATAAGAAGATGCTGAAGGAATTGGTTTGTTAGGCTCCCAAAGGTATAAGAGGATATACAGGAGTAGAAAGATTTCTTTTTACTCTGTATTTATATTTTATGGCACACAGTGTAGGTCCTGATAACCTGGCTGTGCATGTAAATTCATTTAACTGCCACAAAGACTCCAACTGTTGGGAAAGCAGCTGGGTTTCCTGGAGCTTTCATGTTGCATTAATCAAATTTTAAAGAAAAGTCTTTCACTGGTATGAAAATGGGGATTTTTTGCAAGCTGATGTCCTGAAAATATCGATATACATGAAGTAAAAAACAGGACATGTCCCAGCAGTGTTGGATACATGGGTGTCAGCTCACATGGCTGAGATGGCACAGTTTTAATGTTTCCAGAAGCTGCTATATTCTATTCTTAGAACTATTTGGCCTGAGAGATCCACATTCTAATCTGTGTTAGGAGCAGAATCATACCCTGAGCAGGACTTTGAGTGCATTTATGTATGCTCCACTCATTGGCTGCTGTATTGTTAGAGTAATAATTCACTGCACGAAATAGTTTGCCTGTAATGGCTGTGCCTGCACAGCAGAATGGAAGAGGTTTGGTAGCACATTGTCATCTCTAAACTGGCTTAATCTAACTGGCACAAGGGAAAACAACAGGAACACTGGGGGGCTGTTGAGAGATTGTGCTTGGGTGGCTGGTAGGTGATAAAGCCAAAGTTTGTGCACATTTGGGCACTTGTACATGCTGTGTATTAAAATGGTGTGAGTGTGTAATTTACTGATAATGTCTAAGAAGGTGGCTGGTACAGTACAGTGTGGTGTTTATTAGGCTGTGTTCTAGGTGTCCTACAGGAAAGACCAGAATCTGAGAGTTGAGTTCCTTCTATTCCTTTTCTGCCACACTCTGCAGTCTTTGTAGAGAATGATGGAGGAGGTGCTCTTGCACAGTGCAATGCTTGAGCCAGGGTATAAATAATTAACAGGGAGTGGAGTGCTACTGTCAGAAACCAGAGCAAAGTGTCAGCCTGTGAGCCCACTGAAAACCATCTGCTGTGTCTGAGTGTTTAATCTAAATTAGTATAATGTCCATACTCTTTTGGGGTGAACTCAAAATATCTGACTTCTGGGCTCCACTCTACTGCTGCCTTAAAGAGATTTTTCTAAAGCTTTGTTCAGTGCATGGAAAGATCTCATTGTTCTCTTTGGGCAGTAGCTGGTTTAAGTTAGAACGTGAAGTCTTACTTGTTTTCACAAACAGGTTCTTTAAATCCTTGATTGAGAGGAGATCCCTTGTGCCTTGTCTTCATTTCCAGTTTCTCCTCACATGTGAAAGGTGCTTATGCTGAGTGAGTCTTTTATTGATAAAACTGTTTCTAGAAAAGGCACAAGATGCAGGTGAGTTAGTTGCTCAGTACAGCTTGCTTTTTGTGTTTGTTGTAGCCTGGCTGTCCAACTTGAGTGCTTGGTTGTACAGCAGCTCTGCAGCTCTATAGCAGGAAATGCACTTGCAGAATCAGCCAGGCTTCAGAACAAGCTGTCTTTTACAGTGGCAAAAAGATGTTTTGTTTTACACACAAAAAAATACTGTCAACACTACTGCAGCATAACAACTGTTACTCTGTTCTCAGGAGTGTCCCAGCACAGTGTTTGTGTAACAGATGCTCACAACTCCACGGCTGTGGAAGCCCTTTTGACACCACAGATAAATGGAGAATGCTCCTTGGCAGGAGTGAGTGCCTCATGTTGTGGTGTTTATATCAGGAGCAATTGTTTCTGGAGTAGGAGAGGTACAGTTTTTTCTTCAGTTAGGATTGCTGTTTTAGCCCAATCCCAAATAGTTTTAATTCCCTCACTTTGCTCTCTGTCTTGTTCATTGAAGGACAGTAGGAAAGGTTTAGGTTTAGGAAACCTCATAATTTTCATTAAGATCTTGCTTTTGCATAGTTACCTTGTTTGTGTTTGTTTCGGTACAGAATACTTGGGATGAAATAACCCAACAAATTGTATTGGAGGGTAGTTTTAGCTTAGTCCCTACAGAAGCTGGCTGACCACCTTGGAGGTTGCCATCAGGACACACACAGTGGGGAATGCCAGCACTAGCAAAATCCAGTTCTTGATTTTAGAATCTTCTACATTCAAAATAGGATATAAGAATTGTAGTTGAATTTAAAAGATTACTGTGTTATTTACCAACTGTTTAACTACTGGTTAGGAAGAAAATCAAACTCTTTCAACCTCTCTTCTGTTGATGTAGAAATTTCTGTAATGTTTCAGTTTCAAGGCTGTGACTTCAGTGTCTCAGAAGAGTCACAGAAAAGGAAGGCTTTTCTCCCCACTCCCTGCTTCCCAACACACAAGCCACAGTGGTAGGTCCTGTGTCTGAATTCTTCTGGCTGGAAAATGACAGAAAGTCTGCATTTGAACCAAGGTTTTTCATGATTCCCACGAGATTTCATACTTGTGGTATTGTCCAATTTTCAATTCAGAAAAATAATGCAGCAGTGTGGCTTTTCAGCTCTGTAAGTCAGATGCAGTAAAAAGCTGAATTCTGAATTTTTGAGTGTTCTCTACTACTGTTCAATTTTAAATGTGCTGCTTTAGTGTATAAATGTAGGCTGAGATAGATGGGACTAACTTTCAAATACAGTGCATCCCCTCTTCTAACTGATAAAGAGCTAGAAATAGTTGGGTCTGGATTAGGAGGCTCAAACACAGAGATATGGTTGAAGTTATTTTTAGTATTATTTTAGGTGTCTGACTTCTTAGAAGAGAAGTTACGCTAATTCAAATAAAAAAATGACTAACTATAGTTTCCCAAAAGTTGTCAGCAGGTGAGAAATACCTGATTCACTATTAACTGGTAACTTGCTTACACATAATTCTGCAGCTTGTCTTTAAAGCAAATAAATGACTGGTCATTTTATATTTTAATTTATATTTGGTCAAGGTTAGCAGTTCTGTACATGCATGCTATAAATCAGGTATTTTGATTTTTTTGCACAGGCCTCCTCTTAAATTACTTGTATACATTTATATAATTTTATATATAAAAGACCTCATTTATAGAGTTCTCTCATAATTTGGCAAGTATCTTTTCTTTCTAAAAAGACTTCTATGCTGTGTGGGTGTGCATAATTTCTGATTTAATTATTTTAGTGGTTTGTATTTTATTGGTAATTCATGCTCGCAAAGAAAGGGAAAGAACAACCTTACGTTACTCCTCCTTTGTTGTGATTCTGGCTAATTTTGGGAATTACCTACTGGAAGTGCTGTGTTTGTGTTAAAGGGGATGGAATGGGTACAGTCAGCTGCACTTTCAAGGCACTGACCATTAATGTTTGTTATTATACATAGGTGATAAAATAACTGAAGGCATTGTCATGAGTTAGAAAGATAATTGTTCCTTGGAACTTGGTTGTTACTGATGAAAAATACTTACAAATATTTTCCTTATTCCACAGCTTCCATTTGAAACAGAGATTTATTACATCCAGCATGTGATGCTCTATGTTGTGCCCATCTATCTGCTGCACAAAGGAGGTAGGTGGGCAATTTACTCCCTGTGGATTGAACTGGTCCTATGGAATGAAAACTGTGCTTACTGGAAACCATCAGTTTTATTCTTACCCTTTTTAAACAAATTTTCTCTGTTTTTAATTAATAGTTCCTGATGTTCTAGTGTTCTAATGTTGGAGTTTTAACCCAGGTAATAAGTTGTGTCAGGCACTAAACAAAAAATTTTAAAAAATGGTCTTTTGCCTGAAAGGATATTTAGAATGTATTTTCAAAATGTGCACTGTCTTCTTGAGCAGCACCTCTGCCACCTTGCAATATTCTCAGTTGTTGGTGGAATGTATTTTTAAGATTTTTACCTTCTTGGATGTCTCTTGAGTAGTACTGGAACTCAAAATGAGCAAAAAAAAGAAGTTGTCTAGTTAGATAAACCCCAGAAATTCTGAAGCTCCAATGGAATGTAGTGACATGTATCACTGAAATGAACTAGATTGCTTGTTTTCCCTTCTAACAATATTGCTGTCTTGCATTCACTTCTGCCACAATAGTTCAGTCAGTCTGGGAGTCCTAAATTGTTTCCCTGGGCAGTGATTTTTCCAGTTGTGGATCCTCAAAGGGAATGCACTATACATTCAGCTGGTGTGGTGCTCTGCCCCCCTCTAGTGCTGACATGCCTCTAGCTGCATTTTCTAGCAGAGCTGGATTGTTCCATCCAGGAAATAAACCATGATCATTTGTGATCCACATGCTCAGTAGCCTTAATGAAAGCCCTGAGGATGTGATGTCAAGCAATGGGATGCAGTCAGGCTCTTCCATCCTGCTGAATCCATTGTTTTCTATACCAGTGGTCACTTACAATCCTTCACCCTCTTTCACTGTAACCTTTGTGTTGCAGTGACCTGATTGCAGTGTGACCTGCTGAGTGAAACTAAGAAAAATTATTCAAAGGAAAAGTTAAGTCTTGTACTTAAAAAGATGATTCTGTTTCTTTCTTTTATTAGGGAAATATGCCAGCCATGTTTTAATTTTAATCCACCCTTGATAGCCTAAAATTCTAGCAAATAATGCTAAAGTGCAGGGTAGTTGTAGGAGTTACACAAACTCATAATCCTTGCAGGAGGAGGGTGAGGAGCAGGGGACAGAAAACATAAGCAGACATGGAGTGAACTGTAGATAGTGACAAACAAAGCTGTTGTGATGTCAATAAATCACTTGGTGGCCTTGGAGTTCCCATCTGAGGTCACTTTAAGACAGTCCTTTGCTTTAAAAAGGCTTGGCCTTGGATGGTGCTTGATGTGTTCTTTTGATTGTTCGGTGGTTTGGTTTGGCTTTTTGCTTGTTTTGAAGCAGAGGTTCTCAAGGTTCTTCAGGACCTGGGACTGACAAGAACTGAATTTGCAGTTTGAAGGGTTTGATGTTGGACAATTGTCACCCTGGCTCAGTGTTCTGAACCCCTGCCCTGTATTTATGTATGGGTATTTGCTGCCATCTAATGTTTGTGTGATGGCAGTAAAATTGCTTAAAGGACTTTGCTCTGGGCTGTTTAACTCATAACTGCTCTATTTCTTATGCACTTGGCTCCTGGTCACCTGACTGGCTATAATTAACAAAACACCCATGAACTCCTGCCACAGGTGACCTAATGGATCATTTTTGGTGGAAAAATTAGGCAGCCTAAAAATATTTGTTACTGTTAATTTTGTCATTCCACTAGCACCTCTGTTTAAGTACTTTCTGAGTAGGTAACACAGCCCTTTGTCCTGAGTTCTGTATCTTGTGAAAATTGCTTTTTCGTCACTGACATTGATTAGCATGCAGCTTGATTTCAGTATTGTAAATAGAAATTTCCATCAGTGAATCTGTGGATTATGATTGAGAGAAGTAATCATAGGACAGAAATTTGAAAAAAATGAAAAGGAATGGATTGTGTTTGGAAAACTATACTACTTCAGTTTTACTGGGAATCTGCCTGTATTACTGGTGACCTTGATAGGATCCAAATGTTTCTCAAAGATAGGGTGAGCAGAACACCTGAAGCAGAGTGGATTTGAGGCTCAGGCTATAGAGCTGCACCCTCAAGTTTGCTTGCAATACCCGAATCAGGTATTGCACCAGCCATGCACACACTTCCAACCGCCTGCTGAAGTGTTTCCTCTTTGAAAGGAAACTGGTGACAGTAAGCAAGGGCTGTAATCATTTATTTTCTGTCTTTTCCTGGTACTTATTACAGTGGGGCAGGCTGACATGCCTTCGTGTCTGTCCTGACCCTGTAAGAGGGGGGGCTTTACCACACTCAGCAGCACGTGGATGAGAGAGGTGTTTGGAACTCAGTGTTGCACAGCGAACTCACTGGAGCTCCAGGACATGGATCCCTTTTGGGGAGTAAAAACTCCTCTTCCTCTTCCCTCTCAATCCTCTCTGTATTGAGTGAATATAAACTTCCATACTTCCCTTTCTTAACCTGTTTTCTTTCTAAGTGCATATATGCATATATACATAGCATGCAGGCCAGGCTAGACAAATTAAATGCTTTTTACACCATGGCTCATCTTTCTTGGCAGCACTAAGAGGCTCTCATGCAAAATAGATGTAGTGTGGATGTAACAAGCCAGCACACAAGACTCAAGTCAGTTCTTACATAAAGCATATCTGCAGTTGGCACTTTTATTTTACTGGATGAATCTCACCTTGTGTCACCTGCCTCCCAAAACTGCAGTGTGCATGTGAGCAGGAGTCAGCATTCCAGAAACGGCTGGAGGAGTTGAACCAGACCTTGCAGGTCATTGTTTTCTCTTGTCCTTAACAAGTGAGACTCTGAGAGACCTTCAGTGGGGTCAGGGCAGCTAAGTTCTTAAACTGTGTATTCTTAAGATAATGAAAAAAATCTGATTTGCACTACATCAGGTTAGGAGACTGATGATGATGACTCTGTTTCTGACTGTCTTAAGCTTGTTTGGTCAGGTTTTCCAATGGATTTTGGATTTGGTCAGGTGTGCACCTTATTTCAGAACATCAAATCATATTGAAAGTTAATCAAGGTGGAATTGTTATTTCCTTAGTACAGTGATCAAACGATATTGTAAATTACATTATTCCACAGCAGATTGAAATAGCGGTGAATTTGTAGCAGCTCCCTAGAGCTCAGGAGATAATCTGCCCTGTGTTTTGATATCCCCAGTGTTATTTGAGTTAGTAACTCCAGTAGGTAGAGGAGGCTGGGGTTCTGTGGCTGCAGGGAGTGATGCTGAGAGTCTGTCCGGCAACTGCGGGCTGTGGTCCGTGGGGCTGTGGTCCGTGGGGCCGGTCCGTGGGGCCGGTGTGTCCCGCAGCTGCAGCAGGCCCGGCGCTCGGCGCTGCTGTCCGCGGGCTGCGCGGCGCGGCCGGCAGGCGGGGCTGTGCCCGGCGCCGTGAGGGAGGGCAGCTCCGGGAGGAGCGGGAACTGCGCTTGGAGAGCCGGCGGCCATGGCCTGGCGAGGGCCGGGCAGCCTTGTGCGCTGCCCCTGTGTGCCTGGAGAGCCGATTTGCCGCTAAATAAATGAGCTGTTTGCTGGGAATAAAGCAGAATTTTCTTGTTAGGCAAGTGCTGTATCTTTATAAGCAGAGATGAGCCAGTGTCTGACTCAAGTCCCAAAGCCCTTTTCTTTGTTGATCTGTCTTTAAAAGTGGCATCAGAAGAGAAGCTCTGTGGCATTGTCACACAGGCAGTTGATTTTATTTTCCTTTTCCCCCTTCTCTGGGAGGACGCCTCTGTGCTCAGCCAGCGCCGGCAGCCCCCTCAGAGCAGGGCGCTCCTGCCCTCAGCACAGCCTGGGCTTGCTGCAAGGTGCAGCACACAGATACCGAGTACAGATGAAAGGATCATTTTTCCTTTGGTTGTAAATTAAGAAAGTGCAATTAAAACACTAAACCTGTGTTTTCCATTGGCTGTTAGGACCATATTTAAAGACTGTTTTTTAGCTGTTGCACCCTATGTCAGCCAATTTCCCACTTTGTGACTTTGTGCCTTTACCTATTTCTTTCCTTAGCTTTCTAAAGGATTAGCAAGCAGGCTTTATTGTATACCTTTATTAGTAATCCAGGAGAAATATCCCTTAATATTTAGATGTACTTAGGCAGTCGTAAATCTAGTCCATCTTGATCTTCATTGAAATACTTGATAATGTGTGATACAGCTCTTTTGCTGAAACTGAATTACTTAGAGAGCTATTGACTCTTGCATGTTATTTCCCTACTCTGCTTGTAGCAATTCCATGTTCTATTCCAGGTTTCTGTGCTGCTGAATGCCCTGTATTAGACATAAATGTGTGGTCTGCTGTTGAGCTGTGCTTGTGCCGTGGCACCTGGAGCAGCAGGGTAGCTCTGTGTGCTGCTACTCTGGCTGAGGCTCAGGCTGCAGCCTCTCCTGTAGCTTGAATATTCCAGGATAATCTTGTTTGATGATTTGAGAGGAAGAGGAGGGCATGTGTCTCTGTCCTGTGACCCTCTGAGCTTTATGCACTGGGCAGTTACAGTTGGTTTGAAAAATGAAATTTCTAAATTTCTCTTCAGGAGATGCAGAAATTTAGAAGGGCAGGTGCCAGTATCTGGAAGAACTGCTACTATATGAAGGTAGAGGAAGAGCTACTGCTGCTGCTTTATGGAATATAAAAAATGATTCCTGAGAGAAGCATGTACTGTAAGAGCTCTGTCTGAGCTGATTCTGATGGGAGTAGCTGGCACTGAGGGGAAACAGAAACCTCCTGGCATAAGGCACTAGTTTGAAACCTACACATGGAGTCAGAACAGCTGTAGAGGAAACATGGATTTCAGGATCATCCTCTTGAAAACATTTTTTTTCCTGTTTTCCCCTGGAAAGGAAGTTTTATCTCTAGGCTAGCTCAATAGGCCACTCAACTGGAATTAACCCTCTGATCAAGGGAAATAAAAGGAAAATAAATTTGCCCATCTATTTTTGTAAGCTTGAAAATTAAAAAATTGTAATAGTTGCTCTGAGTTTTGGATTAAGCAGGTCTACTTATAATTGTAAGACAACTGAAAGAGAGTGTGCGGCACTGCAAAACTCATAAAGCTCTATCAAATGTAGTGGGAATGAAAGCATGACATTAAAGAGATTATTTTAAACCCTACTAAATTAAAAATTTGTACTATATTTAGATTCCAATTCTCTAATTCAAACAGAGGGGCAATTTTCTTCTGCGTTATGTTTTCACAGAAACACAAAAGAAGTATTGCTCTCTGTTGTGTTCAAATTTTTAGAAGCCTGTGTATTGAGAATTTTAAATAAAAATAATAGTTCATAAGAACATTTGAACTAGTACATTGTGGGAGGGAACAGTATGAAAAAATGGCATCTCTTTGCTGATCTTTAGTTTTTTAGAGCCATGCTTCATTTCCTAGAATTATCAACTTGGCATATTCAAGGTCAACAAAGTCTTGTTTAGAAGCAGATGAAGAACCCCAAACTCTTCAGGCTATTTGGAATCCTTCGTATCAATGCTACTGAAGTAATGAGGTGTAATTTAAACTGAGGTACCCCCTGCCATGCTATTTCAAACATGCAGCCTACCTAGGTGGCCCCAGCTTGCAATGGTCTCAGCTGTCTGGGGAGTGAGTGTTTTTGAGAATGAGATCAGTGCCAGACTGGCACTTGGACTAAATTTCTGTAAGTGCTTGATGTATAACAACTGCCCATGAGCCTTCATAAATAGAGAGTGAAACTCTGCTCCCACCTATTGAAACTGATTTCCTATGCAAGCAGCAAGTAGCTTTTGCCAAAGCCAACACAGGCCCTTCAAACAGCCACTCAGCTGGATCTCAATTTTCCTGTTTGTGTTTTTCTTTTAACAGACTGTACTGTGGAAAATAGACCACACTGCTCCATTAAACAGCAATCCATTGAATAGCAGGGCTGTAGAGTAATAAAATCTATAGTGGGTATTTATATAATGAGAAATGTACAGAAAGTATCCCAGGTATGAATTTAAAGTTAGTTTCCCAAAGCACACTCTTGAATCTGGAGTGCTCCAAAATGTTTTTGTGTGGAGGTCAGTGTTTCCTTTTTGTCCTTTGATGTCCAAACAGTGCTACTGCTGAAAAGCACACCATTATTTTCAGGACTGCAAAGTTTAATAAGGAGGGATATTTTTAGTAGGAAGCAAAACCAAAAATCTGTAGAGAGCAAAAGTTGCTGATGTATTTATTTTTTTAAATTTTGCAACAGAGCAAGGATGTAGCAGAGGGAAATTCCTTGTTGGGTGAACCTGAAAAGCTCTGCTAAGGGACCTGATTAGACTGAAGCTGGACATGAGAAGCCTGGGTTCAAACCCAAATTGTGCCATGGATCTGTGTTGCCATCTTGTGCAATTTCCTTGGTCATTTAATGACTGTTGTCTCCCTCCAGTCTCATTTTATAGCTGGGGTCACTTGCCTGTATTGGTATTTATACCTACCTGCCCTGTCAGCCACCTGGATATGGAGGTGTCTGTATTGCAGCTTTCCTGGGTGCTCACCCCTTTAGACTTTCACCAGGCTTTGTCAAATACTTTTGAAATAACACAGGCAACTGCCAACAGAAACCTAATTTGGTTTAGCAGCGCTCAGCCAGTTCCCGGGAGCTGCTTTGATACCTTATTTAAATTTCATGTTGTGTTTTGTATCTAGGTTAAACATGCACCTAAACTGCAAGGACATTATAAATAAATTTTGCAAGTCAAGCAGTGTTTTCTTGACAGCAGAGGAGGGAGTACAAAGAGTTTCTGCAAAGGTTGACCAGGTCACCTAAAGTTGGTGCAGGCAAAAATAGAGCCATGATCTCCTGCACTCTGACACCAAGGCTCATTCCCCCTCCTCCTCTTCTCTCTGTAATGAAAAACCATATTCAAGGTGGTGTCACCTGTCTGATGTTTTCAGGCCATGGAGTTTAATGAATATCATTGCTGTCTAAGTCCAGACTTCTGTACTGTTTTCTGAAGAGGATGCCAGCTCTTAGCTCACACTTGCCAAGAGCATCCCAAGAATTACTGTTGGGAATTTTTTCCCCTTTACCTGCAGAACTCAAAGTGATTCCTGTAGAGTTCTCTTTTACCTTTGGTTTTACTTGCTGTTCAGACACTTCTGGCCTTCACCTTCCCACTGCATAAGAAACCTTACGAGCTGCCCTGTGCTTGCCAAGTAGCTCCTGTGCCCAAATGTGTCGTGGGCTCCCCAGGTCCCAGGCTGCTCACTGCCCCACGGCGTGCAGAGGTCCCTGGGGTGCTGACCCTGTGCTGGCTCCTCGTTAGAGCAGGAGGGCTGTGTGGGGTGCTGGTGTGCTGCTGCCACTCTCACACACACAGAGTCTCAGCCTGTGCAGGCAGCAGCACAGCACTGGTGTTCTTGGGAGTGGGCACTGGGTGGATGTGCAGTTTTAGGCAACAGCTTGTAGGTGATTTTAAATCTGTAGCACTCACAAAATGCTGTTAATTGAAGTTATTTCAGGTAGCTACTGCAAAATCAATTTGAACTGGTGATGGGTACATATAATGGAAGGAAACTATACAGAAAATAATTTTGAAAGGGTCACGGAGCTTGAGGAAGCATTGCTCTAGAGACCTTAAACCTGAGCTGGGATGCAGCACTAGACAGTGATGCGGTCACAGCAGTTACTTGTATTTATCTCCACAGGATGCCCTACACAGGCATTTTCATAGCAGCTGTGGTCTGGTGGGTGCTGGGGTAGCTGCTCTGCTTGTGGAGTTATTTAAGTTTCCAGTAGCCTTGTACAGTACATGCTGAAGTGTTTCATTACTTCCTGGTAATTACTGAGTGTGCTGGCTAGCCAAGGCCAGTATCAATATTGCACTCTGTGCTCTAAGCTGTCCTTTGAGTACTGGATACATGTTCCAGTATTTAATAATATCTAATGGATCAGAGAGCAGATAAAGGCAGATAAAAATTGCCAGTGTATTTTTATAATCCTCTGAAACTCTTACAGCAGCCAAACTGCATGACATTGTGCATCTTTCCTTTGTGTTCTGAGGCTGCTGTTGAATTCATAAGGAAAGTATTTCCCCACATATCTTACAATTTTCATGTCTGCTAGTAAGAGTCTAGAAAACTCTGTAAACTGGTCTTGTTCTTACCATATGAAATTTGAATATTTAATTCCCAAGATAGTCTTGTATCTATGAGCACTTTTATTAAATCTGATTTCCTTGGTACATTTAAATCAGAGAACATTGTGTCTTGTCAGTAAAGCATGGTTTTGAGAGGGTAGAGAAAGGTTGGAATAATATATTTGCTACTTCATTTGAAGGGAAAAAGCATTTTACAATATCTGTGATATCTACAGATTATAAAACTGTTTGTAGTGTATATCTGAAAATATACACAGCAGCTTTCATTTAAAAGCACAGCCTGTTATTAATGGATTGACCACCTGATATAGCTTTTCTGTTCCGTGGCATTATTGGTGCAAGTTCCTTTTTAGTAGTTGTTGAACAACCATAAAATTAGGAAATGACAATTAGGCTGTGCAGGACCTGCACAGGACCTGCTGCCTGTCAGTTCTGTGCATGCTGAAATCATAATCTCTGCAAGAAGCAGGTGTTCAAGTATAAATAACCAGATTTTTTTGAAGATTCATTGTACACCATTATTGCATTTATTACTTCTGTGGCAGAAGGAAGAATGAAGTAAAAATCATTGATGTTGATGAAAAATAGACAGATTTAGTGAGGTAACATATTGTACATTCACTGCTGGACAAGGAGGAGGGAAAAAGCTGATTAGCATGCTTCAGGTAAGAAATAAAGCTCTCAAATATTAATTACTGTAATGGTATTGAGGAGGTTATCAGCTCGAGCCAGATGTCCTGACATGCAGGAGAGAGAGGATTATTCATTGAGAGTGTGGTGGCACAGCAGTGCAGCTGAACATTAATGTATTCCTTTCTTTTCAAGGTATCTACACCCCTGAACCGCTCTGCAATTTCTGGTGGGCTCTTTTATCCACGGGGTTTATGTTTGTGTATCATTTTAGCATCTTGCAGATCCTGGGACTGGTAAGTAAACCCAGGTTAATAAATGGATAGCCTGCAAGTACATTCAGAGTAAAACCACTGAGTAGTTTGAGTGTCCAGGTCTACATGAATAAGACTACTTGCATGCAAATTTTTGATAAGGCTACTTGTATGCAAATTGCATGTTCTAACCAGCATTTGTGTCTTATATCTTGCAAGTACTGGTAAAATAGTTCATAGATTGGTTATGTACCTGCATAAATCCATTTATTAAATACACAATGGAATTTGGATCTGCTTTTTTTCTGAAAGCTGTCCTACTTGTGTTGAGCAAATGTTTGTCACCGGAACATTTTTGATTATTATGGTAATTCTTTAAATTTTCACTGTTTTTAGGTGAATCAGTACAAGATAAAAATATTAATCCATAAATTTATTGCTGCTTCCTCAGGTTACAGAAGTGAATTTGAACAATATGTTGTGCCCAGCCATCTCAGATCCTTTTTATGGGCCCTGGTACCGAATCTGGGCATCTGGACATCAGACTGTCATGACCATGACTCATGGGAAGCTCATAATCCTGCTGTTTCACAGTGCTGTCCCCACCTTCAAATGGAGCATGGACTTGCTTAGACTCCCAGCTAAGAAAATAGACTGAAATTTCTCCCCACAGAGTAGTTCACACAGGAAGCAGAGATACACTGGAAAACAAAGAGGGGGGATGAGAGGACAATGGCTTTGTACTTCTTCCCACAGTTTTTTGCCTCAAAAACACCTCTGTAATGGAGTGAGGTTTTTTTTTACCTGCTGTTTCTCACTGCCTATTGCCAATGGCAAAATTAGTGGCCTTATTCTGGGGAAGGTTCATGTTTTATACATTTTGTATAGATTACAGTAGAATCTTGCTAAGCCACCATTTAAAATTAGGCCAGGACCTGTCCACATTCCAGCAGAGTGCCAGTGCTACCTCGTTTTGACTCATTTTTCATTAAAGAATTGTACACTTCTAGGACAGGAAATAATGCTGAATTGTAGCACTCCACTGATGTGAACCAACATGCTGAACTGCATCACCTGGCTTAACTCTTAAAGCTTGAATGTTCCAAAATGGTCACAGGAAATCATGCACACCTAATCTTCCAATCAGAAATGCAAAACAGTGAGGTTCTACTGTATTTTCTTAAAGCTGGTTGAGAATATTGGGGAACAATAACTCATTAAAAAAATTAATCAACTACTTAATTTCTAAGCTGCAGTGGATAAGTACCTATCTAGTGAAGTCCAATCATGATGCTTTGGAGATGCTTTTATTTTGGTGAGGGGAAAAAAAGAATATTGAAATAATTTTAAAAGATCATGTTAGGTATAGGCCATGATAAGATATTGCATCCACTGTTCTGCCCTGACTTTGAACAAAATGGTTTTTTTCACTTACCTTAGACTGGAGAAGGAGTGGAGATACAAAGTCCAATATAAACATCAGGGTTTGGTTTTTTTTATACTTAGTAGCTTTTGAAACATTCCTGCTTCATCTATGCTGATCCCTACTGACCAGACTGGTTGGTGAAGAAACTGAATGAAACTCTGTTCTCTCCCTACAGCTCTGCTATATCATGTGTATTGATTTTAAAATAAGGTATAAAAAGGAATGTCAAATCAGTGCAGGCCTCTGCTGCAAAGGGCATGTTCCAGTTTAGTAGCATGAGCCATCAACTTGTCTTTTGGAGAACAGGATGGAGATGGGCAGAATGATCAACTGTGTGTACCTGCTCCAGTTTTGCAGGAGAAACCATTGGGCAGAAAGATAGAAAATCCTGCTGTGTTTTTCCAGAATTGTGAGTCCATTATGCAGACTGTTGTGTTTCAGGGCTGCAGATTTTTCTTGTACAGAAGTTTGGGGGAATTTATAGATTGTGTTGTCAAAGCTGTGACTTGCAAGATAAACCAAAACCATCATACCTCCTCCAGCTGGATCACCTGAAGGTATGTGCTGAAGTTAAGGTACAGATGTTTATACCTCAGGAAGCAAAAGTAAGTTGACTTTTTTTTTCCTTAAAAAAGAAAAAAAAATTTTGTGAGGGAACAAGTGGCTACTTCAAATATTTTTACTCCATATGATTACAAAAAGTACACCGCAATCAGAAATACCTTGTCCCATATTCTGATTTACAAATTGGTTTCTGGCATTCTTCCATGCCTTGCTCTGTGTGTGTATATATAAAGAAATATACTGTATGCTCACAGCTTGAGAACATGCACCATGTACCTAAACTATCCCTCAGGCATATACAGCTGGTCTTAGTATTACAATAGAAGGACTTTAGACAAATTTTGCAAATACTATTTTGCTTTATTTGCTTAAGGTTTCTGTTTTGGTTTTTTTTCTTTCTTTTTTTTTTGCCTTTTTTTTTTTTAGCATCTTCCCCCTTTTTTTTTTTCCTGTCAGGATATTGTAGTTACTGGAAACACTTCTCTAAGTAGGAGCCTTTTCTTTTTTCCTTTTTTAAACTATGGCATTTCCTATCTGTAATCATCTGCTTCAGGGCATTCCAAACAAGTATAGAGCAGCTGCTGTTTGCCACCATTGACTGCCTCTGGTCAATTAAAACTGCAGGAGCATTTAAATGAGCTCAGGTGTCTCACTCAGTGCAGGCTCTTTGCTTGGAAAGCAGAATTTGCAAGCTCTTCTGGCTGACTTAAAATTCAGTAGCAGGAATGTGAACAGAGCTGCCAGGGCCATGCCTGGGCAGTGGAAAGGAATTCCTGGTGCAGAGCTGCTGGGAGTGGCTGTCCCTGCCCTCTCTGCCTCCCTCCCTGGGGGTCACCTGTGCTTTTCCCTCCTGGGCTGCTCCAGTTGTTTTGAGTTACACAGAAATTCGAGGTGTAATTTCACCACATGGAGTTTGCTGATGGAGCTGCTCATCAGAGCCAGTGGGGCGTTGTACTGTCCTTCTAAACCCCGTGTGGGCACGTTCTGGAGCTTGCTAAATCTTTCATAGCAATTTCAGCTGAGAAAATGTCTCGCTGAACAAGGCAACAAAGTAGAGAGGTAACCAACTACTGCACTCAGTAGGGATTTTAGAAGTACTGGAGCTGCAGTGAAGGAATCAAATGGAGTCAGGTGGGAAGGCAGACAGTGCAATCTTGACCTTTTGAACATAAGCTGTTCCTTCTTTGTTGTTGTGCAGTATCAGTGAGGCTGTCTGAGAACAGAATCATTTAGGTTGGAGAGAGCCTGTGAGTTCATCAAACCAAGCATTAACCCAGCACTGCTGAGCCCACCACTAACCCTTATCCTCAGATGTCACACCTACCTACACATCTTTAACCCCTCCTGCAGCCTGTTCAAGGTTTGCTAACCCTTCTGGTGAAGAAATTTTTCCTAACGTCCAATTTAAACCTTCCCCGGTGCCACTTGAGGCTGTTCCTCTTCTCATGTTGCTTATTTCCTTGGGAGAAGAGGCTGAACCCCATCCTCCCTTCAGGCAGTTGCAGAGTGACAAGGTCCACCCTGAGCCTCCTTTTCCCCAGGCTAAACTCAGCCATTCCTCAATGTGTGCTCCAGACCCTTCCCAGCTCTCATGCCTTGGTTTGGATGTGCTCCAGAGCCTCGGTGTCTTTCCTGCAGTGGCAGGCCCCCCTTCCCTATGCCCTTCTTTGAAGGCTTTTAGAACTTCATGTTCATTTATGGTGACCCACCACTCAAAACTGCATCAGTGTAGCTCAGAGAGGCTCTACAGAAGGGGAAGGACAGGTCAGAATGGGAGCAGAAAAGGAAAAAACTTCTGAAGCAATTGTGGAACTTCACATCCTTCATTCCTCACCTATCTCTGGTATCTGCTGGGAATATGCATTAGCCAGAGCTTGCCATATGTGCAGGAAATGGGAAAGCAGAGTACTTCATCTCTATAGCAGTTATTTGTTGTTTTCCCTGGCAGAGGCTGATTTTTCTTTTCCCTGAATGGTTTATTTTATAGGAAGTTACACTATACAGATTTCTTTGGTTGCTTTATGCTTATTTATGCTGGAAATGAAAGCACAAAACTCTACTGCTGTTCTTGGGAGGCAATTGCATTCTCTCCTGGGGTGTTCCACACTCAATCCATGTCAAGGTAACTTGAAGCTGCTGCCCAGTACCTGGTGATGAGATCTGACAGTGCTGCAGTGCAATGCAATTGAAAGGGCTGTCCTGGGCCTCCTGGTCAATGTGCCCAATGTGTCATGGCTCTGGGAATTTCAGCAGCAGTGGCTGTGGGGCTGCACAGCCAGACCCACTGCTCCCAGCAGCACATCTCACCCCAGAGCAACTTCATTTGCTGGCCAGAATACCCCAAAAAGTTCTTGTGCAGTGCCACTGCCTGGCCTTCAGCGATGCTGGTATGGGTTAAGGGGTCTGAAGACAGCCCTCCAAGTGTTGGCATTGTAGGTATTTCAAAAGAAACAGGGAGTTAAGCAAACTCACTACTCCAGCTGCCACTGGCTGCATTTCCCTCCAAGTGTACCCATGAATGAAGCATTGTTAGCTATCATAAACCTGTTTACTGATGGGTTTGTTTATGCAACCTTGGAGTAAGTAGTCCTCCAAAACAGAGGTAAACCAGTAACATTTCTGCCTTGTGCCATGGCTTCAGCTGTCCACAATCCCTGCAGTGCTCTTTTTTCCAGAGATTTACAGAGACACTGTACAGTGTCTGAGCTGGATCTATTTGTTTAACTTCCTCTTTAACTTCCTCTTTAAAGCACTAAAGGAGAATTTGCATTGTTTCTTTTGAAAGGTGCAAACAAATAACTCTTGCCCATGTGTTTATAAATTGCTGAAAAGCCACAGTCTGCACCTGGAGCTGGTTTTAGTTCAGCTTCTTAGTTCAAAGATGCTGCTCCATAAGCAAAACTTACGTATGCTTGAGGAGAAGTCAGTCCATCTGCAGTCCAGTCAAACCTTGAGGTCAGAGAGTACCTAATAGTAGGTTTCTGTTTCTGGCCACAGAATTTTGATATTTCTGTATATTTGAGATAATTTTATAAAGTTCATTTGTATTTTTCAGAAATGGCTATTTGCAACTGTTAACTGACTGTACTTTTATGTCCTAAGTCTTGCATCTAAACCAGAAGCATTTGTTTTCTATGCATCCACAGCTAATGGAAAATAATCGTGGTGTTTTCTTCAGTGTGACAGTTGTTTCACTCTAGGTGGATTCTTAGGAATTAAATTCATCTTTATAGTTAACAAAGCTCTGAAATAGCCAAAACCCAGGAAGAGGGTGAATGTCAGCCCTGGTGGGAGGTTTCTGCAGGCACACAGGTCAGCTTTGGTGTTTTCAGTTCTACAGTGACAGGACTCATAACAAATCTGTTGATTTTTGTGACCTTGTACTTCAAGTGATATTGCTGTCAATCTCTCTTTCTTGCAGCTGTGGTGTAACTTAGTCAAAGCCAAGCTGTTTTATAAATAATTTTATTTTTCTTCAGGGTCAATTTTGTACTTTTAAAAACTATTTCTGCATTTCCGGAGTCATTACCCCAATGCTGCAGAGGACACAGCAGGCAGAGCAGTGAGCACACCCCACTCTCCCAGACCATCCTGTGCCAGGGGCTGGGCTGGAGCACCAGGGGGCTGCAGGAACCTGCAGGGCTGCTTACCCCACTCTTGTCCCAGCGTGGCATTATCAGGCACAGAATGGGGTGGAAAGGGCAAGGATGCATGTGGATGGGCTCAACTGCCACATATGCTGTTAGTTCTGAATAATTTGTAAGTGTTATAAATTTTGTAAACTTTATAATGTGCTAAACTTTGGTTATGAGGTAACATTTACAAATAAAGGGTAATTTGTGTACTTGTTTTTGTATTTTGCTCTGGTGGGCTTTTTTGTTGTTGTGCCCCAAGTCCAGATCATTGGACAAATAGTTGTTAAACCTTGGAATTAAAACAAATAAATGCATTTTACTGGATACTGGATAGTCTTATCATTCTAATTGTGCCAGGTCTCAGTCTGTCTTGCTTGGGACTTTTTATAACTAGGTAAGAATCACAGAGGCATGTAATATTAGCTCTTTGTAAATCAGGTAAGAAGATGGAGGCTCCTGCCTGAAACAGTCTGTACAGCCTGATGTTGTCCACCTTGCACACAGCAGTTCCTGGGAGAACAATGGCTACTGGGATTTCTGGAGTTCTAAGCACTTCAGTCTGACTTTTGCCTGTAACCTGTCAGTCAACAGCAGTTTACTGGCAGAGCTCACTGCAGGGTGTAAATCCTTTAATCACTGTTTAAACAGGACCTGTCCTTGTCTTTCAGGTGCAGAGCTCAGGGAACTGTTTCAGTACAAGGATGCTTTCTCCACACTTCCTCACTGTTCCTGCCCCCGCCTGGCCAATGTCCTGTAGTTCCCATTTCACAGCACTTCAGCAGAAGATGGGAGAACATGCACAGAAGTTTTCAGCTCCCACCTTTGTTCAGAAAGCTGCTGTAGCAGCTGCAGGCCTGCACTCAGCCCCACATCACAGGATGGCAAAGTAGTGTTAATGTACTTTGCAAATGCTTCTGGCTGTAATAAACATGATTGCAGCACAGTCAGATGTGTTCTTGTGACCCAGTACAGCTCAGACAAGCAGGTTATTGCCTTGTGTGCAGTTCTTGGCAAATACTGTTCTTGGAAAAAGAACATACTGGATGTGCCACCCTGTATTATTATATCTCCATTGCAGAGGATTCAAGTTTTCATGTAGCTGGGGAAAAGAATCAATTTTCCAGCTTAATTTCTCTGGCAGAGTATAAAGACTGATGAAACAGCTTAAGTAGAAATCCAGTGTGAAGTGCTGTATGGGAGCCTGAGCTGAACCAAGCAAGCAATTTCCCATTGCAGGCACTGCTGATTACTGTCAACAGCCCTCTATAACTAATTAGAAATTAGTTATAATTTTGTTGTTTAATACCAACAAATATGTAAGAATAAGCAAGTTTCTACATCTGAAACACCCTTAATGCTATGGCTTGGTTTGATTTTTACAGCATGGGAATTGGAGAGCTGGCTAAAGCAGTGAGAAGACTGGAAACTCATTGTAGGAAGTGGTAACTAGCTCTGCCTTTCAATGGCCTCAGGGTTTCAGATTAGGCTTAGTGTAGATTTTACACTAAATTTTACCAAATCTGTGAGCCAAGCTTCCATCACTGGCTTAGTATTTACCCAGGCAGATTTCCCTTCAGATGCTTGTTCATCTCCTAAATCAAAGCTTCAGAGCAAGTGAAGGAATGGCTGCATCAGACTTCAGCATCCAAAGGTTACACAGATTCTATTGCTCTGCTTTCAAAGGCACTGCATTACAGCCAGCAGAGCTCTTAATACAGCATGAGGCAAACAAAAGCCCTTCTAAACCCAGAGCTGAGTTCCAGGGAGATGGAATGCTTTGTCTCAGGAATTATCCTACAGAGGAAATATGCTCCCTTTAACTCGGACTCGGTAGAAAGTCTCTCAGTGCACCAAGAATTTGGCTGAGGGACCAGAGTTCTCCAACTTGATTTTGGCATCAGCTGTGCTGTTGCTTTGACAGCCGTTCTTCAACACACATTGGCACAATGTCCTGTTGAACAATCTGGCTGTTAGGGGTACCAGTGCTATGGGGCTGACACCAGTATAACTGGTTCTGCAAAGAAGTTTTGCATCAAAAGATTGAAACCATTTCTGCCTCTCACAGTAGGGAGCTCAGGCTGGACAGAATTCCATGTGTAAAGTTAGACAAGAAGTATAAAATTGAACTGGCAATTGATACAAATACTGATGAATATACTGAGATAAATAACTGATGTAGCTGATATAGATGGTGATTTCACTGGGAGTGTTTAGTGAAAACTGCACTTACCTGTCCCCAGTCTGTTCCTACAGCAGACAAAAGGAAAGATAGGAAAATATTTCCAACACACCATTAGCCTTTGACATTAACACCAGGCACAAATGCTTCAATAACAACACTGACCAAGCCACACAGTTAAAGAGAGAAACATAAAAAGAAATGGTGATTCTTTTTCCTTATTTTATTGGGTAAATGATTTAAAAGGTAATAACAATAGTGTTAAAACTACTACAATATCTTTCCACAGCCATATCTCACAGACCCACAGATAACCTTCTAGCATTTTTTTTTTCTTTTTCCTCATTTTTCTCTTTTTAAGCCGTACTTATATTAAAATGCCCATTTCAACAGTTTCTTCACACTAATAGCAATTAAATGTGGAAGGAAGAAGGATCTAGTTATAAAGGAAGGGGGTTCAGGTAATCTGTGATATTACTGCAATCAATTGAGTTGCTAAGGAAGGAAGGAAAAGACCCAGGCCTTACAAGCTACTCCAGGTAGCTCTAAGCCCACTGTGTGTCACCATGGCATTGAAGATAACTCAAGATGCTGGTGAACAATTTAAAGTAAGTTTGTTTTTTTTTCTTTGTAACATATAAAACACTAAAATAACTTAGAAACTAGATCCAAATATCTGGAAAAGAATCAACTTTGATATACAAAACAGTCATAAGTTGTTACAAAAGTTTCAAACAAAAGTTTGTTTTCTCAGTGCGTTTATGTACCAGCGCAATTACTGAGTCCAGAGCAAAGAAAGAGGTTTTTCTTTTTTATTTTTTTTCTTTAACAGTAATAAAAAATGAGGAAAACATATCTTTGTATATAAAGAATCATTGCTGGTCTTAAGAATAAATGTAATCAGAAACCCTTAAATCTGAGAGGCACACTTTGGGTTTCTCTTTTTTTTTTTTTAGCTTTTTTTTCTTTTTTTAACATAAAATGAAAGTCACCAGTTTATTTAAATGGAGGAGATACTCAGACTCCCCAAATAAACTTAATTCAATTAACATCACTAGCAAAAATCAGTTAGAAACTGTACAAAAATAAAAAAGTTAACACATTTAATCCTGCAGGGATTTTGTAAGGACTGGAAGGCAGGCTTTAGGAGCAGCATTTGGGCATGGCTGGAGGCTTCTTTGGTTCGATCTAACACACATAAGAGATGTAACCTACTCCAGACAACAGCTTTAAAAACCCGCACAGTTGAAGACAAGTAGAGGTCCATATACAAACTCCAGGTGTGCCAGGGCTGTGCCCACCTTGGCTCCAGAGCGGGGCTGAGGTCAGGACCGGAGCGTCCACCCCTGCCGGAGCAGCAGCCGCTGCCGTGGCAGCAGGAAGGACACTTGAAGCATCACCAAGTAACAGCTTCGTGTCAAGTCTATGGTTTGGTTGTCTAACTCAGTTTACAGAACAGAGTTTTTAGGAACATTAGGCAAGAGAATGAAAAAAAAACCCAACAACCTCTTCAATGGAATAAGGCAAACTGAGTAGTGCTTATAAAAAAAAATAAATCAGCTTTTCAACTTAACAAACAGTGAAATAAGCTACTTGGTTGTACCTTAATTTCTATAAAGTACCCCAAAGGAAAAGCTAATCTGTAACCCCAACAATACAGCTAAAAGCTACTAAATGTAACTACGAGGGAATGACATTTGTGAGAGCAATTGCTGATTAGCTTTAAGCAAATAGACCTATTCTGTGCCAGTGCATGTCACAGTGAGCTGCATGTTTGGTACAAAGAATCCCACAATTACAGAGAAATAATCTGCAGCAGAGTTCAGCACAGTGTGCTGAGGAGGTAGGTGCCCTAGAAACACTGTAGGTAGACTGATTATTCCAATCTTTTAAAAAAAAATCATACAATCTGATTGACCACAGACTCTGTAACAGTTTTTAAATTAGTGATACAAAACTCTGGTCCAGAAGGGTCTGGCATGAGCTCAGTTCAAAAGCACACCTTTACAGTTTGTATAACACCCTTGAACTATGTTTTTAAGCAACAGCTACTAAGAGATAGACAAAAATGCATTGTGCATTATGCTGTATACAAAAAGGAGACAAAACTATCCTTTTCTCCCCCAAGCCATGGTGGGAAGTATTGCTGACCTTGTCCTTAAAATCCTGCAGGATTGTTTATTCATCAGTATATCATTATTACACTGGTAAGAAATTCTGTATAACATCTGCATATATCGAAGATTTCTTAAAAAATCTGATATGATTTTAGATCCGCATGACCAGTCACGTGACCTTCTTGAGGTTGATTAGCACCTTTCAATACATATATATTTTTATATATAATAGATCTTTTTAAAAAACTTCTAACAATGAGCTCATGCAGAAGCACGAGCGAGCTGTAACGAGATGACAGATAAAGATGGGGTTGGATGACTTTTTTTCGCAGCAGAATGATTCAGTTTGTGCTCAGGTTCCCTATAAGGGCAAGAAAAAAAACCAACACAACTCTATCAGGTAGCCACTTGTTCACATTTCCACTTGAAGACTAATTAATCTAAAAGTGTTCCCCAAGTAGAAACAAGACAACAGTATCATCCAAAATAGCCTCTGTATAAACATCTACTCATTTTTGCAGCTTCTGGCTGGCATCTCTTGGCTCCTGAAATTTCAGGCCCTCTGCTTAAAAATTAAGGCATCGCAACTGAAAATGGTAATATTTGGACATAAATGCTGTGGATGAAGGAATACCAAAGACCTTCTACAAGAACCTCCATAAAAATTAAGTGGCAGACCTAACCTCACATAAGGGATGAGCATAATTTATCCTTATCTGACTATGAAACCCTATTGAAACACTTTTACAGTTGATCCAATTTTTTTAAACTGAATTTTATCTATTTGATTTTTATATATCTACGTATTTACAAACATTCATTATTCAAAGTAACTGGAATTTCTGCTTACTGTGGTTTACTCACTCAGATTAGGAAGGTCTTTTCTGTAACAGGTGGCCTGTGCTGCAACAGGCAGCAGTGGGAGCTCTGCAGGCACAGGAGGAAGCAGTGAGCTCCTGCCAGGGACTGGCCTTGCAAACAGACCACACATACCTTTTACTAAATCCTATTTTTACAGCAGGAAAAAGTTCCAATCGGTTTTCTTTCTTCTACCGTGTGGAGGGGTATCAGAATTATTACACAGTACTTACAGCTCTCAAGCACTATTCCTGCAATAGATGAAAACATGTAACATTATGGCATACTTGTCCTGCCTCTCTCACAACAGTCTTTTTTCTTTTATTAAACCAAAGTTAACTTGATCCAACTATTCATGACTTGATAAAACTCAGTAAGTTCAAGAGCAGATGAAGAACAAAACAGGGATTTCTCTTTTCCAAAATAAGTTTGCTAATAATAATAATGATAATAAAAAAGTAAATCTCATTTTAAAGAGAAAAAAACGTGTCCAAAACCCTGATGCCAGAGCAGCCTCAACAGGGTTTGCTAAAATGTCTGGAGTATATGTTTTCTATGAATTTTATATATAAGTATATAATTATGTTATAGTCAAAGGCACTAAAATCTAAATCCATTTCCTTCCTAATATGACATCTGCTACTCACCAATCTGTTTTAGGACACAAATGTCACTCCTAATTTGAGTCATCAGAAAGGCATTGTCTCATTACAAATGCATTCTTGTGGCTACTCCTGACAGGCCTGGGCTGCCTGTGATTCCCAGCACAGGATGGGACACAAAAGGGTCCTGGACTGGATTGTGCCCAAATCATTTAGGCCACTTGATTCTGAAAATGCTGCCCTGTTAACATCACCTCTCGCTGTACATGAGCTGCTTCTCTTCATCCCAAAAAAGCTTTTTGTACATCAGCCTTGGTGCTCCGGCTGTTTGTGCTGGATCTGGAGATCCTGTACAGAGCTACATGGAATCTTTACTGTGAAGGTGAGATACTGTACACACAACGTCATTAAGAATGTTATGAAAATGCAATTCATTGTCTACTTCAATACCTGAATCTGATATGTTTCATTCCCTATCACACCCATTAATGCAAAAGCCATGAATGCCTTTTTGCTAAGCAAAGCATCCCTAACTGCAATCCTTAAACTCTTCCTTCCATCCACAGTTACAGAAAGCCTTGATTGATATAATTCAATGTTAACGAAGTAGAAATTTAAATTTTCATAAAAAATCCAAGGGTATATGCTGCAAAAAAATCTGCAGTGAATCAATAATAAAAAGGTATGGGATCTTTGTAGTAATGCAGTTTTCCCTCCCGTTGCCATGATGAGCTGAACCAAGCAAGGAGCCTCAACATGGCAACGGAAACTATCATCATAAAATGGTACAGTAATAGAGATAGCTAGACCAAGAAGGGGCAGGGTCTCCTGGGAAGAGGTCTGCAGAGAGGTCCAGTGACTGGTCATGCGGCTCAGTGTCAGGAATAATGGTTGTAGGGTGGAAGGGGGTGCCCAATACCATTCTGGAAGTGATGATGCTGACGATGGGCAAGGTACTCTGTGTAGCTCATCGTCATCTTCTCACTGCGGTACCTGAAAAGAGCAGAGAGGCCAAGTCAGGAACTGCTACCAGGAAGCTGCAAGTAGCACCAGAAATGCTGCACTGCTGCTTTGTTTAGTGGTAAGAGCTCTGTACTTCTGGTGCTGGGAATATGACTGACTGCAGCTGCACAAGGGAACTGCCACAACTGTCAGGGTCATTTCCTGAATCATGTGACAAATCGCAACGTAACTGTTTATGAGAAAATACTTTAAGCAAACAGAATTGTCAAAAATGGTTGCTTACTATGTTGGTTGAGGTAGAGGGAACAGAGAATGTCCTGTAGCTTCAGGCAACCTTCTAAAAAATCTTGTAGGAAAAACCATAACAAGCACTACAGATTATTGGGCTGTTTTTAAACAATCAGTATCAACTGTCTGCCATATTCTGCTTTTAAAATTATCCCAGCTACATTAAATATAGTTACATTCTTTTTAGACTAGAATCACAGAATACCTCCAGTTGGAAGGGACCCATCATGAACACTGAGTCCAACTCCCTACTCCTCACGCAACTACCTAAAACTAAACCATATGGTTAAAAGCATTGCTCAGACACCCCCTGGCCTCCCACAGGCCTGATGCCATGACCCTGGACAGCTTGTTCCAGTGCCTGACTACCTTCTCAGTAAAGAATATTTTTCTGATGTCCAGACTGAACTTCCCCTGAGGCAGCTTCATTCCCTTCCCTCACATTCTATTGCTGGTCACCTGAAAGAGGAGACAAGCAGCTCTGTTCCACTGCTCCCTACAGGAACCTGCACACCCCAGGGAGGTTTTTCTCAGCCCTCTCCAAACTGAACAGAACATGTGTCCTCAGCTATTCCTCCTGAGTCTTGCCCTTGAGGCCTTTCACCATTTCTGGTCACTTTCCTCTCACCACACTCCAGAGTCTGATGTCCTCACAGAGAGGCACCAAACTGATTTCACCTGGCTTTGAAGTGAGACCAGCAGGCCTGTAATAACAAGGATCTTCCTTCTTCCAAATGGAAGATTTGCCAGCTTCACTTGACTGGGACCTCTCCTGACTCCCAAGTCAGTTGAGAAATAATGAAAAATGGTCCCACAAGAACATCACCCAGCTCCCTCTAACTAAAGGCAGAATCCAGGTCCTGACAACAAATTCTGAATACATCTGCATCAGTATTGTCTGACAATGAGGAACACAAGGGACCTTGTTCCTCCTTGTTCTGGGCCTTGACAGCTCTGCAGAGAATCCCCAGCTGCTGACCCCTGCATTCCAGACCCTCTGTGCCACTGTGCAGCTCTCTCAAAACATGGCCACAGCTGCTGGGTGTGAACCTGAAGGGGGTGACAGACTCATGAACAGCCTAAAGCCTTCTTCACACACAGGATGTTTACTTTAATTCAGAAGACTTGAAAAAGAAGTTAAAAGCCCTTATTCACTCCTCCAATGGATATTTTCATGTATGACAATAAATTATTTAAATGAGGTTCTAAAACAAGTTGTCTAATGCTGGAAAACAATTACTATTTTAATAATACTTTCTCTAATCTGTCAGCAGTATCTGAGATTTTAAGCAACAAAGCAAGTAAAACAGGCAGTCAAAAAACCCCTTTTTCTGAATGCTAAAAAATTATGGTTTGCTCATTTCACTTATCAGGCAATTGATTGTGGTAGCAGTTCCATTGTTGTGAACTTAATTACACTAAATATAAGGCTTTTTATGGATTTTTTGGGAAGAGTGGGGGTGAACTTCAGCAGTTTTTCTTTCGTTTTGTGCTCCATGCCATTGCTTGAAGCAAAATCATGCAGCAGGAAAAAAACACATGCTATATAGAGTTTTTGTTTAATGGAAAAATATGCTCCTTTTTGCTGAGGGGTACAGAAATGATCTATTGCATTATTACTCTTGCCCTCAGCTATCCCCAGATACTCTTTTTGAATATTCTTTTTGAAAATAAGATAACAAGGTGCACAGCTGAAATAAATTAAAGGGAGACTGGGGTTCTGCACTTAGACATTTAGCTGGTTTCTGTAAATCCTCCCTCCCTAATTTAACCTTCAGAATAAAATGTTTCCCTTCCTCAGAGCTACTCCACAGGACTACCTTCACCACCTAATGGCAGTATCATGGGCAGAGTATCTGCTGCTAATTCTGAAATACCTTGGCTGCCACACACTAAGGAGCCCTCAAGAACACGTTTTATTAAATTAGCAAAACCAAATGAAACTAGTATGAAATAAAATATTAAAATCTCGTCCCCACTCCTGGGAATAGCCTGACACAGTTTCACTGGAACACTGGCTGTGGAAGCAGAGCATGGCCTGCATGTCTCACACCTCAAGATCAGGGGAACCTGTCCTCCACAGGGCACACCCCAGAGGTTTCTCTGAGGATCCAGCACACCGGGGCTCTGAGGGGCCTCCATGACAACACAGCAGCAGCCCCACCACGCACCATCTACCCAAATGAATCTAACAAGAGCAAGTAATCCCTGTCAGCCACAGCCCTGAACAGCCACTACAGGCAAAAATCCCTCTGTGAGAAGGCAGAGCTAAAGCAGTGCTGAGAACGTGCAGAGTTCAGCCCACACCTGCAGGAACCTGACAAATCACAGCCTGTCTGAAGAGCTGCCTCTTGCTCCCTGCTTAGGGCCACCCATCCCTGTGCAAAGCTTCTCCTAAGTCTGTACTGCTCTTGTGGAACAAAGCAATCAGGAATGACACATCCAGGAGAGTTTACCATTACCATCTGCAGCAGACTTACCAGCAAGGAGCACCTCCCAGCACTACAACAACAGGGCTCTGTGTGGTATCCCAGTGCATACCTGGTTAGCTTTATTGTTTTCCTGAATTCATTAGTAATTGGAGCTTTGTAGCCTCCTTTCCTCAACAAGGAATCTATGGTTTGAATGTGGTCCCATCCTGTTGGATGTTACAGTAGCACAAATTAGTGAGAAATGAAGCAACAGGAACAGATGTTGCAAAAGCACAGTACAGTGTGTGGTGCTGCTGAGAGTGCAAGGGCTCTGCTGGCATTTGGGAAAAACCAAAACATTCTTCCCTACTTCAGAACAGCTGAAGGAAATTCCACATTTAGCATTTCTTTACACACACAGCTCACTCTACAAACAACATATATTTCTCATCTCATAGTTGAAATATATTAAAAGTGAACCCACTCTACCCAAGTGTCCTAAACTGGGTGTGTGATACAAAACTGAACTTTTACAAAACATTCAGGTATGATCATGTATCACAGCCACTTTAGACATTATAAATGGTTATAACAATATGGAAAACTAAACTTATGCATAACATTTTAAATAATTATCAGTTGAACATGTGCAGAGAACTTGAAATCAGACTTCTTCATAAACATCACTTCACTTTACAGAGATATGGTTGATTTTAGAACAACTATATATTACAAGTGTCTAGATAATGAAAGAAGCTAGGGATTTAAAATACAGATTCATTACTGTTCTCAATAAAATCTTCATGCTATCCAACCTCCTATTTATTTAAAAACTTGCATATTTTAAATAGCTGTTAGACACGTTATTTCCTAAAGATGCAATAATTAGTCACATTGTTACATTAAAAAACCTGCAAAAACCACAGTAGATTTGGGCATATACAAAATACAAATGAGTAGTTCTGGAGACTTCAAAGAATCAGATTGCAATTCATGGTCTCCTAAAACTATTCAGAAATTTAGACACATTCCCCCCACAATTCCTGAATTTAAAAAAAAGCTTGGAACACCCCTAGACTTTCATGAAACTATCTGGAAACAGAATTATAAATTAAAAAGAATTCTTAGTAAAGATATCTGCTGAACTCTCTGTAGACAAACTTATATATAAAAAGGTAAAAAAAAGCAGCAGTAATGCAAACTATAAATGATTGAGACAGACTGAGACACACTATCAACCTTGGAAATAAAAAAACATGAGTGTTTAGAGTCAGCAAAAAACTGTTCAACAAAATCTACTCTAGTTTTTTTAAATTCACAAACTTAAGTCTGTGCCTCTATTAAAAGGGACTTTTAACAACATTCTTTTGTACTTCCATATTGAAAATAATTTCCTTCCATCCATTAAAAACCCTGGGAAGTCAGTGTTTGTAACAGGAATTGAGTACTAGCAGAAAGTACCTAACTGAAAAACAACTTGATCATCAGGATTCAGGAATAAATCATAGTTAAGATAACTGCCCAGACATCCCAATGCTCAAGAGAGCTTCTGCATCTCCCTTATATCCCAGCCAAGCAGTCACACAGAAAGTGGCAGCTTTTAACAGCTGTTAGCCTGGCTGACAGCACTGTACCATTCCTCTCCATTTTATTTTCCTATAGCTACACTGCATTTATGACTGGCTCAAAAAACACAGAGTTTACTGAAGCCCTCTAGGAGACTGACACAGGCATGTAATTGGCATTTTATATAAGAGTCTTCTTACACTTAAACACTGCTCCATCAGTGCAAGGTTAAATACTGCATGTTAGATTTACAGAATTCTGTATTTTCAGAAACACGGAATTTAGATTTCAAGTTCTTCCCCAGATGTTAGGAAATAAAGTGCAACAGTGACCTTGCTCCTTGGCGACCTCCGGTAAGTAGGTGGCCGTGCGCTTGGATCCTTTCTCGTTGATGAACTCTATTCTAATGCCATGCACACCCACCTGCAAGAGATTGGCACTCCGTTAGCACACCACCAGGGAAATGATACAGCGTGGTAAGTGACAGGTCAAATCCCAAAGTGAGCAGTGGTTCACAGCATTTCAGAGTTTCAAGGAGGTGGCACTGCAGTGGGTGTCATGTTTTTGGGAGGTGTTCACTTACTGCCATGTAAGCTCAGCAGCAGCACAGGTACACTGGATGTTCCTCTGCTCCCCAGCACAGAGCTTCGTTCCTGGGCTGGAGGAAATCCAGCTGAGGAGCTAAAGTTGTTCTGTCTCCTCTGACACTGTCACCATTGTTGTTGCTGATAAAATCACCTGGTCACCAGCTATAATCTGCAGGCAAAACAGCTGCCAAATCTAATGAGGCTTCAATTAAGAGCATTAATTTTGTTCAAAGCAGCAACTGAACAAAGATTTGTCACACTACAGACTCGAGCCTGGAGCCTTCAAAATTTCACCTCATGTGTGAGGAGGAAATGGAAATACTGTGAAGTACCCAGCCTCAAACTCCTGTTTCTGCCACTAAGAACTGTAAGGTGACAACATGACAGCACAGAAACCAAGATTACTACTACCAAGGAGCTGGTTGCAGATAAAAATCAAAATGCTGAAAATATTGGGAGAAAAAGAACCAAGAGGCTGGGCACATTTCCAGGGCATTGTTTAAGCCCCCTGTTTTCAGGTTACAATAATTCTGTGGAGAGTACCTGCACTGGGATCAGGCCATAAAAGATATTCCATTGCCAGAAGGTTTTCAGTTGCTTTTGAGTTCTGTGCACAAACACAAAGCATTATTAGATGGACATTTTTATGCCCACATAACCAAGATGTTATTTCCATATGAATCCCAACACTGCATGTGAAAATGAGTCAATGTTTTTTAAAAGGATATCACGTTGTTTGGTGTGGCACATCCTTGAGGACACAAATTTAATCAAAAAATGCTGTAACATTTTCTCCAGTGACAATTTACTTACTTTACCATAACTGCAGGGCAGTCAAAAAACAAACAGGGAATATTTAAAAGCTCTACCGCTTCTTCAATTAACATATTTGCTTATATTAAGACTTTAATTTTTAAACTATTCACTCTTTATATATAAGCAGGGGAAATAGGAGGAAGAGTCCTTTGTGGCTGGCCATGGCCTCAACCATTCTTCCCTATGAATCTAACATTGTTCATAAATAGGAAAAATGTAACTTTGTGACTAAGAAATTTAATTCACTGCAACTTTTAACATGTTATTTCATTACCAAACCTTCCCAAACCCCAACTTTCATTACATGGATATACATATAATCAGAGAGATTAAATCTGTATACTCAGAAGATACAATTATAAGCCCAAAGGCCTGAAAGTAAAATGAAATTATGTTGGAAGTTGAAAACAGTCTACAGAGTTTATGCCCAAATCAGTAAGTTTCTGCAGCTGGTGATTTTGTAACTGTGTATATTCAGTACTAAGATTAAATATTTCCAGGGTTTGCACACCTTTAAATCCTGCAGAATATGAGATTCTAAATGCTACACAAGTGTTTTTCATAATAACCAGGAGCACTAGTGATGTACTGAAGTATGATGCAACATTCAAGTTGCAACACTGCTCTGGATGTTTCCCATTAACCATTTTAATGGACTTTTAGGCCCATGTCTGTAGAAAAAGAGATGTACAGCAGGGGAGAATTTCATAGCATCCTGTGGAGCATGAATTCCAACTGTGTAGCTGAGCAGGACAAACAGCTTTTCATTGTTCAATTCCAGCTAGCAGGCTTGAGTTAAATAAATGGAAGCCACACACAAGCAAAATAAAAATGATGCACACTAAGACTGGCATAAATATGGTGTGGAATTTATTTTCCTCAAGAGACTGGTGTTCAACTGATGCAAACTTCAGTGAGATTTCCCAAAATAGCCCTCTCCACGATGGGAGGTAAGGGCTGGGTGTCTGTGTGGCATTAACTGCCCTGCTGCCAGAACCAGCACACACCTTCCTACACAGCCCCAGGTCTGCTTCTCAGACTAAAAATACTGATGCACTACAGGCAGCATTCTGTGGAACAACAGCATCTGTCTGTGAAGTTTAGAAAAACAAACCAATCTTGTGCAGAAAGAGCTGGAGTTCTGCCTCACCTATTACCATTCATTAGGGAAACAACTGCCTACAGGCAGCCCCGGAGCTGAAAAGGGACCACACAATTGCTGCTTCAGCCTCCCACGTGGACAGGAACCTATTTAAATTGTTGCTATTGGCAGAGGAAAGCAAGATAAGGAGAGAGAGGCAAAAAAACAATCTCTGACAATAGAAATATTTCTATAGAATTTTAGAGAATGAAATATTGTGGTCTATATGAGCAGTACTTGTAGATATAAACTTTCTGATCAGTTGTGTAAGTGGCCAGAGGCCACCTAAAATTAGGCTCTGGGTTAAGGGACAGCCCTTCTTTTGTCAGCTGTCTCTGCAGCAACCTAGAAAAAAGGTTTTTTTCCAACAAAAAAGCTGGCCTAGAACTTGCACAGTATTCCTTGTGACACCACAGAACAGTAACTTTCCCCTTAATTTACCTGACTAATACTATAGAAATAGTTGTACACAAATGTTTTAGAAATGGAAATATTCAGATTAAGTGACTATTGCTATTTTCTTGAAGCTGATCCCACTTGGCATCAGCTCAATTCTACAGCTTTTTAGCGCCACATTTGCAGCAAATATGCTGGCTTCTTTCTGATCATCTTTAGTAGCATCTAAATACTACATTCTGATTTAACAACAGAGGAAAAAGACTCCTCAGGAGGTTTGTTCTCTACTTCATGTCAAGCATAATCATTCATTTATATGGAATCACTGAATATTGACCAAAGAGAATAACATATTGAGATCCAGACTTTCTTCTCAGTTCTACAGAACAGAAGCTGAGAGCCACTGGTGTTGCTGCACCTGCAGGCAGGAAAGAGCTTCCACAACTCCTGAATATACCCACTTTGTCAACAATGAAAAGCTGCCTTTCAGTCAACATCATTGGCTACAACTATTTAAGCTAATATTTAAACCAGTGCACACAGGTTAAAGGCCTTTTGTATCAAGACAGCACGTACAATTCTGCAGATTTTAACAGCAACTTTGGGGCAAAGAGCTCTCTCAAGTCATTTTAAGGAAGAGCTACTGCTCAAGTCTAGCCAAGAAGTTCTTTGTTATAAGTACATACAATTGCAATGCTTTAGGATCTCCTAATAAAAAATGAGGAGAGGATCTGAATCAGCAGGCCTGAATTAGTTTATGTAGGGAAGGAATGCCTGCTATCAATAGCACGTGTTTAAAAATAAGAGGTCTTTATGACTTGATTTGTAACTAGTTCTTTGCTGTCTGATGTTTAATAAAAGAGCAGTAGTATCACCAAAACCCCCTAGATCTCTGAGTTTTTCATGCTGTCTATTTCTCTGAGGTGGAAAAGCTGTGCAACTCCATCCCAGCAGCAACTGGACCAGAGCAGAGCAGTCTCTCATGGGCTCTGTGAAGCAGAGCTGGAGAAGCAGCTCTCACACTCCCAGTGTTCCTTTCAAAGCCCTACTTCTGTTCAGCACTGCAGCTCAGACAAATCACAGGTATGTAAGAATGCTAAGCTGTATTTCAGCAAGCATCCTTGTGAACATGGCATTGAAGTGGTCTTTTAAAAATGTGTACTCTTCCCTAATTACTTCTATAAGAGATGAAAATGCAGTCATTTGAGAAGTCACATGGGAACTAACAGCAGTGAATTCACACAGATCTCCTGTTTACTTGATGGAAGTTTCTGCCACTTAAAGGGTCTCACATTGCTTTTTACAGCTGAAATATTCATTTATTTAGTTTGGGAAGGTAATTCCTTTCTGTGAGAAAACATTCATCACTCTGCTTCAGCACAGAGAAGACACTCCCGAGCTGTCTCCAGACAGCTTCACTCCTGACTTCAGATGACATTGTCTCTAAGTCTCTCAGAGCACTGAGTTGTCTGAATTGGTAATTTTGAAATATTGTGACCTGTGTCAGCAAATTGCTGACCTGGTTCCCACAAGATCATCAGCAGCACACCTGCAAAAGCAGAGACTCCTAACTAGGCTGATGTTTTTCAGGATGATCCCAGCATGACAGGAGATGAAAGATGCAAACTCTCTCTTTACTTCACTCTAGACATCCTGAAATGTCCTTTTGCCATTAATATTGCATAACTGCAGCTCCCTTAAAAGACACATGGGTGACCTAAGCTATCTCACTGCCAGGCACACACAGTGATGAATCACTCTCTTAAGGACTAACAACCACAAATTTTATAATCTCATATTTATACATCACCTTCCTCCTCTGGGTCCTTTTGCATGGAAACCTACTTTGTGACTATTTCTTAGAATTGTAGGAATTTATGAAGGGTTTTAACAACTCATCATTAGAAAACCTTAAATGAAATAGGAGAGAGCAACTAAGCAACATAAGGCCTTTTATATTTTTGACCCCTGCATTCTTCCCTTGTAAGTCAGGGCTTTCCAATAAGAACAACTGTAAGAATCCATAAAATCAATCAGAATTTAGAAACACTGGAGTTCTGCATTATGCTTACTTACACTGTTGTTAAAGTTTCACAAGTTCTGCAGCAAAATACAGAAAGGGCATAAAAAGTAAAAGCCTCCTTTTTTCATATTACTTATGAATCAGTATTAGCTATAAATCAGCAGTCGCCCAAGGAACAAAGCTAAAACCAGTCTTTCCAAGGGAAAGTGGATTTCTGAACTTAGGCTTTGCTTACAGCTTTTCCTTAAGGATGAAGACATTTAGATGTTTTAATCCTTAAGGAAAGACTTTTATTATTAAGACAATGAAACAGCACCTAGTAATATTTATAGACTACAGCATGCAAAGAACTAAATGCTATTTCATTATGCACTTCACATTTTCTGAGTATATTCATGTCTGATTTTTAATAAATTATCATACATGAAATTAAAAACATCACAGTGCTGGCTACCAGAAGTCAACCTAGTAGAGGAGAAAAATTCTATGATTTTGATTTCTCGCTTTAGTACTAATAGTTACTAGTCTGATTACTTGAAAACACTCTCAAATGGCTCAGTGACAAGGTAGACTACTCTGTAAAAGCTTCTTATTGAGAATGCAGACACAGTTTCTGCTAAGATTTATTTTTGGTTTGACATTACAGAAAAAAATGAGTATTTCTGATAATGGTGAAAATGCTCATAAACCCCAAAGAAAACCCACATTCATCTCAATTCAGAATTACACAGCAGAAGGTAAGAAGCCCTTGTTACGATGAGGTGAACAGGAAACACATCTTTGTCAATTTTCAGCTACTGTAAAATCCATAATGCTGAGGTTACTGCTGATACCCTCCTTCTGAGACAGCAGAGCCTGTTACGGTTCTAACAAGTGCAATTGCTATTGAATGTACATTTTTTATCTCTAAATACAACAGAAAGCCTCTTTTTCTCCTAAGAAATTCTAAATATTTAGTCAGGCTAAGTTATTATTAAAGGCAAATACTATAGCTTTTGTGGTGCCTCTGGCATTATAATGTCTGCTATTCTATGACAATTTCAAAATTTTTCTTATGTCCACTCAAAAATAGATTCAAAAAGGAATGAGGAATGCAACATGATGACTGAGATGAGGAGTTCATCTTAAGTCAAGTACCTTATATTTTGCAAGCATCTAATGCTAAATAATTTGGGGAAAAGAACATTACAGACTAACACTTCCATCAGTATACACTGTCATACACACGTCAGCATCTGCTTTTTAATCTCTTTTATGCTGCTGTTCCAAGAGGATGCATGCAGGTTTCCTAGAACCTGGCAATTAGAGCAGATTCAGCTCCATGCATAAGCAGCGTGAGAGCAAAGATGTACATGGGCTCACTGTGCAAAGGCTTTGGGAGGCCTGTGCAGGACACTCACTCTGAAAGTAAACCAAGTCTGGGGGTAGATCCATGTCTCTACAAGCTAAATGAAGCAGCTTGTTCTGGGACTGCAATTCTGTGCAGTACTTGTTTCTAGAAGCATACATCAGACTCTTCACTTCCACACTGGAACACCCCTTTCCAGTCAATGGACTGATCTGCCAGGTGGATGCTGCAAATGAGGCCTCAGGACACCCTTGCTCAGACAACACCTTCCTTGATGGAGTCTTGGACCTGCAGACCACTCTGAGCGCCTTTGTGGGCAAAACCACAACTTTATTCCTTTTGCATGGCTCACACTCTAGAGGTGACAACAGTTTTATCAAAAATTGTCTTTTGAATCCACGCACATACCCATGTGTACAGAATGCAAAAAGAGTGACAGCTACACTAATACATGCAGATCATTTAAACAGTGTTACTTCAGCTACAGATGTTCATTTTCATGGAAGATACCTGACTTTCTTACCTCCCAATCCATGTAGTCACACACATCTTCAAAGTTAGTGAGTAGAGACACTGAGCAGAAAAGCCGTGGCAGCTCATCCCTCGTCATGGGGGGGAAACGACTATCTTTAAGGGCACTGTTGAAGACAAAACAGAATTTCAAAGGATTTTTTTTTTTTAATTTCAAGGATCTAATCTGAAGAGTATAAAGGAAAAAAAAAATCCTGATGAAACGATGACCAGTTTGATTACCCAGTCACCAGTGTAACATACACTTTGATCAACATTTCCAACCTTTTCCTTAGACATTTGTTTTGGTTCTTGGCTGGCCAATCAGATGATGTTCTGAGGGTCATTCCTTCCTGAGCTGGTTTTGCTACTGTGACAATCTTAAAATTACAGTGCCAGAAAGCTTTTGGAAAAAAGTTACAAAAGCAATAGCTCTTCCCCTTGCAACTTGTAAACCCTTTTCAAAAAGGATTAAACTTCTCAACACAAAATGAAGGGGGAAATTCTACAGCCTGCAGTGATCAAACACTTAATACAGTAATCAAATTATAGAATTTAATTATTGAGTGAAAAAAAATCCAAACAAGCGGAATATGCTCTAAAAAAGACTAATATTCATGCTCACTAGCAAAGGTGAATTTTAAAAGGTGAAAACATCCAAGGGCTCTACAGACCTGTAAGCCTACAGGACTTGAGGAAGTTCTGCAAAGCAGATGTCATGATTAGTACCAGGGAAGCTTGCAAACAGCTAATCCATGGATGACAGACCATTCTACAGACAAACACACCTAGAGGGTAAAACCACACCGAGGAAGCCACCTGTGCACAGGCCAGCACGCCTGGAAACACACAGCAAGCAACGCCATGAGTAAGAACACTTGCAAAAACCTACTTGCATAAGTTTGGTTAAAAAACAGTTAAATTAGCAAAGGGAAGGTTAATGTGAGGGTGGCATCTCAATCTTTTATTCTCTTAAGCTTTGAAATATGATGTGGATACAAACACGCCCATTTCCAACAAAAACAGCCATCTGCTAACTGAGCTTTTGGAGGAATAAAGAGAATTTAAGAGACTTACTGAGACTTAATACTACCAAGCTCTTCATGTGTCTCATTGTTTCACCTAACAATTAGATTGTTTTTAAGAGTTTTACTTGGCCTAGAGCCAGTGGCTGCCCCTTAGCTGACATAATCACTGCCATAGCCAGAATTCATTGTTTTTATAAAGAGTAATAGAATTTCATTACATCAGACCATATAAGGACACGCGAGAAAAAAATCACAGTATGTGAAGTTTAACTAAAGGAAATCATCATTTTATAACCAGAAATAGTTTTCCATCAAGAACTAATACCATAACCTGAAGAGTTAAAATATAACTACTTTTTCTGGGGTGGGGGGGAAGGCAAATTTTTTGTTGCAGATATTACAAAACACAACGCAGTATTGAAATTCAGACTCCGAAGTCCTTTTCTACACAGACCTGTGAAGAACTGGGAACACTAAAGAGATCTGAAGTGCAAGGCCCATGATATCTAACTAATGACTTCCACTGAAGATATATCAAAAGCAGGTAATGCTGATGGGATTTTCCAGGCTAGCTTTGAAACTGCTGGAACCAGGCAGAGTTACCATCCTCTGCTCTCTGATGTTCAGAGCAACATCAGAGATAACTCCTATAGCCACAGCATACCAACAACATCCCAAAATACTAATGACCTAATTCAGCTTTCAAATCCCTCCCCACAGTGATGAAAATAAACATACATATGTAAAGGGAGGGCACTCAGAACACAGGGACAGCTCAAAGCAGAAGTCTATCTAGTTTTAGGTCTATCTAGTAGTAACTCCTTACCAACAGCAGTTAGCAAAATGAATGAGTACAAGAACATGGTCACAGCAAATGTCCAGGGGTACCTTCCTAGAACACTCTCCAGGAATCCAGTTATTTATAGCTTAGGTATTTTGAGTCACAGATGGAATCACTGTACTTTAAAGCTCTTCTGAATTTTATTTTGTAAGTTTATGTATACACACGTATAACATTTTAGCCTCCTTTTAAATAAAAAATTATTATTGGAACCCCCAATCCTCTTTGAATACATTGCTACTACAGGTTTGCTGATTTGCAGATGGCTCATCTCCCTGAGGTATCCTGCATCTCTGTACTATAACCAATCTATGTGAACACACTACTGAGAAGCACCCAGACAGAACAGCATTATTTCATCAACAAACAATAAATTCAGTTATCCCTACAAACAACTGTATGCATGGATACTGCTAATATTACTATTAATCTGTTTATTGAAATTTATGCAACCAAGCAAACACCTCCCATATTGCAAAAATTTAAAACCTTCAAAAGGTTTTTTTTTGGTTTTTTTTTTGGCACAACTTGGTACTAGCAGTTTGTCTTGAAATTCCAATTCCTACAGCCGCCAAAATCTACTGTAAATTTCAACTTTTTGAGGCAAAGGTCGTCTGTGTGCTGTGGGTGTAAGCCTGATCCTCACAAAGGTAGCAGTAGAAGTCTCCAGCAAATTCCCACTCACTGAAGATCTGCTGCACTGGCATTGCTAGATGATAAGCCATTGGTAATTTAACGTTTTTCAAGCTGAGCAGAAACAAACCCCATCCCATGCTCATGTAAGCCATGTCTCACAGAATCACAGAATAATTTAACGTTTTTCAAGCTGAGCAGAAACAAACCCCATCCCATGCTCACGTAAGCCATGTCTCACAGAACCACAGAATATCCTAAACTGGAAGGGAAACATCAGGACCATCAACTCCTGGCTCAGTGCAGGACACCCCAGATCAATTAAATGCTGAGCTAATAATTTGAAACAAGATGAATGAAATCATGACATATTTAAATATTGATAAAAAGCTGAGATATGAAACCTTCAGGTGAATAGTGAGAGCAGGAAAGCACACAAAGGTGAAAAAGCCTCGGGCACACAGAGGCAGCCAAGTGGTTCAGTTGCAGTGAAAGCAGTGCCATGCAGTGACAGCACACACTGAGCTGCAAGCTCAGCTGCCCTACTCCATTCTTCAGCAATGACACTGGCACAAATACCTTGTCTTCACGTAACCACCTCCCAAGAACTAAAATATTGCTATCAAATGATAGAGTGATTTCAATTATAAGTAACTCCTGCTGAACTGCCAGGTGCTATTCCATCTGTACAGCATGCTGGAAAATTTCTCCTCGACACCTCCACAGCTACAGACACTGGTGCACAGATCCTGTCTCAAAACTCCTGCTGCTGGAGGTAAGTGAGAAGCCTGGCAGAATAAGACCAGAGATTTGAGTAACAGCCTTTGACACCACTGTGACTACTCTACACAGATATTGCTGGGATTTTAATCCTTCAGGCCCTTTCTTCAGGCCCTTTGCATCTTTCAAAATAGCTTTGCCTCTGTTGTTTCATAAGTAAAACCTAAATTTACCTGGAGAAACTTGTGTTGACAATCAGGAACTGGAATAAAGCCTACTGAAGGGAAATGCTGACAAGAGAGCTTATATTGATTAGCTATATATGAAATAGTGTCTCCTAACAAAATTTATGAAACAAAAATTTTATCAGGGGTCAGCTTTAGAAGAACCTTTTCCTAATGAGTTTTGACATCACATACTACTTTAAAAAACCAAGATCTGTTTTATTGTGCTCTATATTACAGTTAGAACATCAGTCATCTTCTCAATCATTCTATTGTTGCTACCATGTCCAAACTCTACAGTAAGTTCCAGATACCTTTGCAAATCTTAAAAGCACACCAGCTTTGTAAAAGCTCTTCACAGATGAACTGCTTTCATTTTTCCATTTCCCAATGCCTGCTAGCAGGAGACATATGGCATCAGAAATGCTTCTCTTCAGAACTCAGCCATTATCCTTGAATTTAAACTTCATCTCTGTGGGGAGTGAAGAAATCACCATCCATGACTGTTCTGATGGTGCCAGTGGAACAAGAGGATGGTGCCCAGTGGTTCCTCAAGGGCAGCTTCCACGTTAGACAAGTCTCAGCTCTCAATGCTTGACAGACTGGGATCACTCTCAGAAGTGTCAGCAGATGTCAACACTTAGTCAGCAAGGAAAAAAAATCCTTGCATGAGCTTTTACTTTTGCCGTTCCTGTTCGGACAAGAAACAGTTTCTACAGGCAGCAGTTTGCCCTTACCATCCAGTTCACACACTCTACAAACATCTATGGATGGAAATTCAGAGCTGTGCCTCCCCTGACATGTCACTGCACTTGCCATGTGCCTTCTGGTAACCAACTCCCAGCAAGCAGAAAACAAGACAAGGCAATGCTTGCTTTCCTCAAAGGATTGCCACTGGTCTGAACTCGGAATAAAAAAATCACTATGTAACTGTGGCTTATCAACATTCTTATCTGGCACAGGATAATCTGTATGTGTCTGTACTTCTGTAGCCTTAGAATTTGATTTTACAGTTTTATTCAATGCTGTATTTTTCTGTCAATTCTTCTGTTAGAAAAATGAATGAAATCTGGCATATTCAATACCATGTTTAAAAAATATTAACTCCACAATCTTAACTTAGAATTAAGGAAGGGTAAGTGGAAATAATCAGCAAAACAAGTTGGAAAAATTAGGTGGCATTCAAAACTACTTTTAAAGAAAAAGCCCAATAATTGTAAAAGCATTTCCTAGGCCATCTGTTCTTCATTCCTCCATGCCCAGAAATAGATTACATATATTGCTGCTGACTAAATGGAAGGTCATAGTACTGAAAAGCTGAAAAGAGGTAGTGCCAAACAAGGGGAATTCTAGCTGGCCAATAAAAGGGCATTCATTTTTCCACATAGAGTCTGCTCCATGTAAAAAGTGAAGCAAGTAAAGTTAGAATTGAATCCTATTCAAGGAAAACTATTTTTAGATACTAAATGCATGCACGCATACGCATGGCCTTTCTAGTTAAATATTTATACAGTCCTGGATGTCCTAAGATCAAGTAATTGCCAGTTAGGAAAAAAGCCAAAACAAAGTGTTACTCAACTATCAGTTTTTCTTCAGCTGAGCCATACTACACAAATCTCAGCTTTTCTTCAAATGAAGTTTATGTAGCTGTAGGAAATATTTATCAGCAATTTCATTTTCCA